GGTACAGTACAAACTGGGACCGGAAAGGTTGACCCGGCTCGGAAATTCAAATGTTCTACGGCTGCTCGTGACGCACCTCTGCCCCATTAGTAAAAGTAAATTCAACCTATATGAAGCATAAAGTCTGGCCGCGTCAACCTTTTTGCACCGACTAATCCTGTCCATAGAGCTAGGTACAGTACAAACTGGGACCGGAAAAATTTGTTAAATTCTGAACCAAAACATGATTGAAATCAAATAGAAGAAGTATCTCGCCATGGTTGTCCCGGTTGACTCTAGCAATGGAAGGTCACTTGAAATTACACCGATATCCTCTCTGTTATGAGTTTTAGTAACATCTCATTCTTTGTAAGTAAACATGTATATTTAGTTTAAAAACAAGTGAACATTCCGTTTCAGGTTGCGAATCTATTTCCGGAGTCTGAAGTGTTTCCGAATATTAGTTCCGAGTTCTCAACTCAGTTCACACAGGACAATGTACGCAGGTAAATGCTGCTAAATAGATGCACATTTTTAGCAAAACTGTCCCAAAATTTAAAAATAGAATAGAAAGAATTATGAAGGGATTTTTCTAGGAAGGGGGGGCTTAAATTTGTGTTCTTTCCAGCAAAGTCCGATTTACAACGGTACCCTGGAAAGCTTTGTCTGATCAAGTATGAATTAGATATCAATGTTTTTTAAACTGTTTATTTTTATTTGAGGATTCTCTTTGAAAGTGACTTGCGCATTTCATGAACACTTTTCGAGTCAGGAAAAGTGATTACTCAGATTAAGATTTTAGGGGTACCGTTTTAAATCGAAAATTCCCATCTTCGCATAGATGGTCATCTAATATTACGCTTTCAGTCCTTTTAATACTCCTTGAAATTATAAAGAGAGATGGAATATTTTGAAAAAGAACCTGGAAAATCTTTTGAAAGAACATACGGTTGGGCCTGGCTCTTAAAACTTCAGGTAAAATCGTCGTCGTATTTAACAATATAATGAAGACGACCTTTTTTCAATTTTGAGTTCTACCAAGCTTTCAAACTGCAGAAACACTTAATCATTTAAACAATGAGAAATCGTTAAATAACAGCTACTCATGCGTTTACTTATAAACTTTTAATTTGAAAATTACTTTAAAAGCTTTGTTCTTAAAAAGTCGTCTTCATTGTATTGATATTATCGCCGACCACTGTAATATATTTTTTAAGTGTCCCAGAATTATGCTGTATGATTTAAATTAAGTTTTAAATTTTAAATCTTTACAGATGGCTCTTCAAACCTCAAACCAAGAAGAATTTGTGAAATTTGCTGATACACTCAAAACTTTTGGTAAACCTTACAAAATTCAAATATTTCAAAGACAATGATTCATTTTCTTTTAAGTTGTGTTTGGCTGAGAGCTTATAATTTGTCTTATTTCTAAGCTAATCTGTTTTCAGCTGATTTCATTCTAAACTAAACTATTTGCAGCTGATTATATTCTAAACTTTTCTATTTGTAGCTGATTATATTCTAAACTAATCTGCTTCTAGCTGATTATATTTTAAACTAATCTATGTTTAGCTGATTATATTCTAAACTAATCTGTTTTCAGCTGATTATAATCTAAGTTAATCTGTTTTCAGCTGATTATATTTTAACTAATCTATTTTTAGCTGATTATATTCTAAGTTAATCTGTTTTCAGATAATTATTTTCTAAACTAATCTACTTGCAGCTGATTATATTCTAAACTAATTTGTTTTTAGCTGATTATATTCTAAACTAATCTACCTGCAGCTGATTATAATCTAAGTTAATCTGTTTTCAGCTGATTATATTCTAAACTAATCTACTTGCAGCTGATTATTTTCTAAACTAATCTGTTTTCAGCTGATTATATTCTAATCTAATCTGTTTTCAGCTGATTATATTCTAAACTAATATGTTTTAGTTTATTATATTCTAAACTAATCTGTTTTCAGCTGATTATATTCTAAACTAATATGTTTTCAGCTGATTATATTCTAAACTAATTTGTTTTCAGCCGATTATATTCTGAACTTGTCTGTTTTCAGCTGATTATATTCTAAACTAATCTACCTGCATCTGATTATATTCTAAACTAATCTACCTGCAGCTGATTATTTTCTAAACTAATCTGTTTTCAGCTGATTATATTGCTGAACTCTACGTTGATTTTCTTCCAAGGTAAAACAAAATGGATTTAATTTTATAAGTAACATTATATTTGTAAAGAAACTGTAAACGTAATTTCAAGTGACCCATGGAACCCTACACACAAAATTACAACCGTACCATTGAAACCTTTATCTGATCAATAATGTGCAAATATCATAACGTATTTTCTAGGTTTATAACTAGCTGAAGAGCCCGGCGTTGCCCCCTCGAAAAATAATGTTTAAAAAAATTTTAAAATTAAAAAAAAAAAATTTTTTTTCAAAAATTTCAGCCCAATCGGTCCAGCCGTTTGGCCAGTTATACGCAACATATATAGACATATATATGAATGTCTTGTTTTATTATATAGATTTACTCTGATATTCCCTTCATGCTTTCCTGCAATAAAAATGCGCAAGCCACAAATTCCCAACTAAAAATAAACAGTTTGTAAACTTTGATTTCTCATTCATAGTAGATAATAAAAAAAAAAAAACATTAAAAGTGTACCGTTGTGAAGGGGGAATTCCCTTCTTTGAATGGAGGGTTACTAGAAATTACGCTTGCTGTCCCTGTAAAGGGAGGTTTCAAGCATCTTTATAATGGGGGATTTTTAGTTTAAATCAGGTTTCATTTTCTGCCATTCAAAACTTTTAAATTGATCACTGCGATGTTTTTCTAACTAAAGTATACTTCTGATACCACCATACAAAATCTAATTTTAATAATGTATTCTTAACAAGTTCTGAAAAGGGATTGAGTCTTTGCCACAATCTCTGATTTTCTAATCCCCATATCTTTGCAACCCAATGTCTATAAACCTTAGATATTTCGAACTATACATTCAATTAGATTAAATCATCTTTAAGTTTGAAATATGAAAAGTCAACACCATCAGGTTGCAGAGATATAGGAATTCGAAGTTTTGAGTTTGTGGAAATGAATTCTTAGTTTACTGTCGTCTTCAATTTCAGGCTTGCATATCCTGTGAGAGTTGGAGAACATGCAAATACAGCTTTCGGTCTTGNGGGGGGGGGGGTGATTTCCAAACCCCCCTTTGATTTTGCCCTTTAGGTTGAGATAGGGGAGTGTGATACATGTTCCTAGTCCAAGTTTATAAGGCCTGCCTATCAAAAAAACTAGACCTCTAACTTTAATGGTAAGGGTGCAAGGGAGCATTTTAAAATGTTTTAGAAGGACGTCGGAAAAAATGTTCAAAAATATTTTTTTTAATCTTGCCAAATATTAACATGAGATACATGTTTTTCCATTTATTTTTTTATTTATTTTTCAAGGGCTTTTCAAATATATAAATTTTAGCCCTATAGTTTAATTAATATAAAAGTAATTGAGCATTTTTTTAAAACACCGACCAGCCGTTTGACAGTCCTCCATTCTACCCTATGCATAAAAAAATAGGAAATTTTAGCAAAATTTATTCACAACTACGAAGCTGAAAAGGTGAAGAAATTTTAGCGTTCTAATGTCAGCCGTTTAAAATTTAAAATTTCAATCGTGATAGGGTTAAGGAATTAATAAACATTGGAAAATTTTATTTTAATGAATCAAATATTTATTTAATCAATTGATACAAAAATCCGAATCTGAATACATTCTAAATACAATAAAAAGGCAATCTAATCTAGTCAATGGCAAAAGTATTTACTGAAAAATAAATAAAACTAAAAACTTATCATAATACTGAAATAAATCTTTCAAAACTGACGACTTAAATAATGACCTGGGAACTTTTTTGGGTACATATCATCCCATATTGTTTGGTACTTATTATCCCATATTGTTGGGTACTTATTATCCCATATTATTGGGTACTTATTATCCCATATTGTTGGGTACTTATTATCCCATATTGTTTAGTACTTATTATCCCATATTGTTGGGTACTTATTATCCCATATTGTTTGGTACTTATTATCCCATATTGTTGGGTACTTATTATCCCATGTTGTTTAGTACTTATTATCCCATATTTTTTAGTACTTATTATCCCATATTGTTTAGTTCTTATTATCCCATATTGTTTGGTACTTATTATTCCATATTGTTGGATACTTATTATCCCATATTGTTTGGTACTTATTATCCCATATTGTTTGATCTCGATTATCGATATTCACAGTGGGCACTTTTGAATTTTACGCATCATCGGAATATCTTGACTTGGAATATCCGTATTTTCTCAGTTTTCTTATTGGTTGAATTATCTAGCTTCTGATTGGCTGTAATTGTTTTCCACAGAGAAATTGTTCTTAACGCGCCCCTGTCCAAAAGTTTAATGATCCATGCCGGTAAAACACGTCTTGTTTATGCATTTAGTCGTACTGTCCAGTCTGGTTATCTAGTTAGGTTACCTAGAATAAGTCATACAGAGGAATAGAAATTTTTAATGTTATAAAATTTTTATTTCAATTTAAAGGAGACCAATTCCCCCCAACATTTGAAAAAGATTTCACATGATCAAAAATATATTCCTAGCGCAAATCATAGAAATAGAGATGATATTTATATTCCTAGAGTAAAATTATGATTTTTATATTTCTAGAGTAAAATTATGATTTTTATATTCCTAGAGTAAAATTTATCAAAATTGGACTGCTCCCCCTCACAATTTTCCTAAAATATGGTATGAAAATAAACAACACTTTTCTAAGCTTTCAAATATCAATCTTATTTCGAATTTTAAACAGAATTTAACTGAAGATTTTTATCATTAGAACAAATGTTTTAATTCTAACACATGCTATGTTTGCAAAAGAATCGAAGAAAGCAAAGACGACTTTACAAAGAAAAGACTAAAAATATTAAAAAGAGTAAAAAATATAATCAAACATAAAGAATATAAAAAATCGGCGCGAATTAAAAAGATGCTGAAAAATGCCCGTTTTGCGTAAAGTCTATTTTATTTTTTTAAGCATTACAAATCTATCATTTTTATTACAAAAAGTTGTTAGTTCATCGTCGAAAAATACTAACAATCCACCACTAGTTTATATCAAATATAATGTAAACAAAAATGTAACTTTCCTTTTCCTTTCCTTTTCTTTTCCTTTTATTTCAATTTTTTATATTTTTTTAGAATTGCGGGGAAATATTCCCACAACTTCTATGTTTAGAGGTTTTCAAATATTTTCTCCTTAAACACATAATTTTTAATGTTTTGTTATATTTTATAAATAAATAATTACTTACTTACTACTTACTAGTTCTGAGTTGACCCAGCACGTTTTATGCAACAAATGTAGCCTGGCAAGATCATAGTGCACAGGATATCGAATAAAGAATTAACTAATCTGAAAATTAACAAAAGTACAGGAGCAAGAATTGATCTCGATATCCACATATCCCACCTCTGATCAATTAATCCAGATTTGTTCTTTAGTATTGACGGAAACCTAAAGTTGGAAGAAGTTATAAGAAATGTTTCATCAAAATTCTATTTAAACGATAGGTTAGACCAACTTTTAATACCTAAATAAAATATGATATTTAAAAAATGTTTAAAAAGGGACTGTTTCCGTTATTTTAAGTAAACCTTCAGCCCTGGAGAAGCATGGCCGATTCACAAAGGTATCCTTAAAACAATTGTCTGATAAGCTATCCTTTTTTTCTTTCAAAACATTTATTATTTTTAATTTGGGTTTATGGGACAATGTCGTAGATTGTCAGAATTCAACAGGTTTACAAAAATGACGTTACCTTCACAAATATTAATCGAACATGTTCTTCACAGGCTAGAACTATGTTTACATTATAAACAAATATTAATCGAACATGTTCTTCACAGGCTAGAACTATGTTTACATTATAAACAAATATTAATCGGACATGTTCTTCACAGGCTAGAACTATGTTTACATTATAAACAAATAGTTTTTATGGAACAGTGTGATTGCTCAATCTTTGTCAAGCTTTAGTATTGTTTACAATACAACTATGTCCTAAGCTCTCCTAATACGTTACAGTAAATGTAAATAAACTCTATAGCCCCGTTTTTCATACTTCAAATCAGATCTTATTAACGAAAGAGACCGTAGCTACCTTCAAGTGACCATTCAGAATTAAAGTGGCATTTTGGATAAACAGCGATATTTCAAAAAGAGTTCAGTGCGGATTTAGGCCACAAATACAACAAATAGAATTTTCCGAATTCAACACTTTTCATGAATAGCTTTCTTTATGTTGTTGAGATGGAGGTACCACTGTGAATCGGACGTTTTTGTTTAGTGAATGTCCCCTAAGTTATGAACCGAGTGGATATGATTTCCTCTCCCCCTGCCTTCAGGCAGAAATCAATATTTGTTCAAATCAGAAAATATTTTTTTCGGATTTTGTAATCTTGAGAATGGATACTTGCAAAAAAATACAGATCAATGTGGACTTATCCGGAAATTTCAGGAAGTATCGTTGAACGAAACTTCAGAGTTTCCTTTTTGGGGTTTATACATTTGTGTACACTTTAATTTAAGAATTAGAAAACAGACAGATATTGTAAAGAAACCACATGAAATAATATATCTTAACAATAATATTGGTATCTTCAAAACTGCCGTACCCCATTCATGAAACCCGGGTTTACGATACTGGTTTTCATACCAATACTCTGTATCAAGTCCAGAGCCTAAACTTAAGACAGGGTATCGTTACGAAAACCAGTTATAAATCCCGGGTTTTACGAATGGGGCTAGGCAGTTTTGTGAATATCAATATTTTTGTTATGAAATATTTTTATTTAGTTTCTTCATATTCTCCATTTTTATCGAATCTCTTAAATCAAAATCTACAAAATGTTTAGATTTCAAAAAGGAAACTCGATATTTTTGTTTAACGATACTCTTTTAAATTTCAAGCTACATCTGCAGTACTGCAGTACATTTTTTTGAAAACAAGAACTTTACTGCATTTTATGAGATTTTACACTTTGTTTACAAAATACAAGGACATTTCAGAAAGCATTTGAATTTTTAATAATTGATTTACCCTGAGTCCAGGAAGCAGATCTAATGGCAAGGTAACAAGAAACTCTTTTCTTTAATATTTATTTTAAAATTCTTTTTTAAGAATTATTACAGTTATTCTTTAATGATTGAAAAACATCTTTAAAATCTTTATATAAAATATATCAGAACATGGTTTACGGAACCTATCCGTAAGCTAATTACGGAACTTTTCCTAAAGCTGTAATTACAAAACCTTTCCGTCAGCTGTTTCCGGAACCTATTAGTAAGCTATTTACGGAACCTTTCCGTCAGCTGTTTACGGAACCTATTAGTAAGCTATTTACGGAACCTTTCCGTCAACTGTTTACGGAACCTATTAGTAAGATATTAACGAAACCTTTCCGTCAGCTGTTTACGGAACCTATAAGTAAGCTATTTACGGAACCTTTTCGTCAGCTGTTTACGGAACCTATAAATAAGCTATTTAAGGAACCTTTCCGTCAGCTGTTTACGGAAACTATTAGTAAGCTATTTACGGAACCTTTCTGTGCGCTGTTTACAAAGCCTTTCCGTCAGCTGTTTACTAAGCCTTTCCCTATAAAGCTGTTTTCGGAACCTCCGTGAGATGTTTCTTTCTTAAAATGTAAAAGAAAGCTGAAGGACGAAATTCATTCCACAGTATTTGGTGGACTCATTTTTTAATTTTTATTTTAATTTTAGTGTTTCCGTTGATTTTTTAGTTGGGTTGATAAAACCCCTTGTTAAAAATTGTCAAAAAGTGAAAATGTGAAAACTAAAATGTCTAAACTCCTTTGATGTGTTACGGCCTGTATAAACACAGATGAGACTTCAAAGACGATTCTACGGGATTTATACTATCTGTTTCCTGATATTTATGATTCCCTGCAGTCGCCTGCAGTATATCTATAAACTTAATTCTTTTTTTGCAAAATCTCTAAATAAGTCATTTAAAGACTACATTCAGGACAGAAAACTTAATTCAAATTAAGATCGTCATATTTGAAGAGTTTTAAGTCGTGTTTACAGTCTCTTGGACATATCTACAGGTTGATAGAGGACCCTGAGGAATATATTGGTTGGTTGAACCGGTTCCTCCCTCAGCTCTTTGATCAGGAGTTTAATCTGCAACCTGGAGAGGTTAACATCCGCTTTTAATAAAACTGTTAGGGTTATTTCAAGTGATACTCCAAGCAAAGATGACAATGCCCGATTCACAATTGGGTACCCATTAACAGCTATGTCTGATCAAGTATGAAATAGATATTATTGTTTATAATTTTATAAACAAAGCAGAAATAAACAAAGCCTAGAAAAATGACAATATCTTCCATGATATTAATCAGAGAAACGTTATAAACCGGGAATTAGGTTTCAAGGGTGCCGTTATAAACCGAGAATTAGGTTTCAAGGGTGCCGTTATAAACCGAGAATTGATATCTTTGTATATTGACGACCACTTGAAATTACCCTTACAGTCCCTTTAAAGGGAGTGTTCGCGAAAAATGAAATGGGGTATAGACTTACGTCGAAAAATATTCGATGGTGATTGCTACCAAGCTTACTTCTATCTGTTGCGTCTATAAGGAGAAAATGGTTAAACACGACTCATACCACGCGGATGTAGCGGCAATACAAATTCAGAAAGTTGCAATATTTGACTCAGATCGTAAACAAATCAATTTAATTTAAAGCAAATCATTCAGATACCTAGACAAATTTATCTAGGTTTAGATATTACAACCTTTAATCATTGATTTTTTTCGACGCATTCATATATAGTTGATATTTCATAATATTTTTATTGGTTTTACATATGATGCAATTTAAACAATGATTGGCCTCTAGGTGTCTCTGCTTTTGATGTTTCTGAATGGCTCCACATAGGAGAGACACATAGTGGACAAAAAATCGTCGTTTTAAGTGCATTGTATATAAAACAATTAACAAATATTATTAAATATAAACTTTATACGAATATACTTAAGAACCCTTTTTTTACACATTAACTGTAAATTTTTCACATTTCATGTTTTTACTTTATCTCTACAATAAAATTTATATCACACATGTAACTGTTGAAAATACAGATTTGAGTTGGACCAATTATTTTACTTCACAATCCTTAAAAAATCCATACATAAATAGTTTACCCTTGCTATAGGTATTAGATCGTACAGATGGTAAACTGGTTCATCTAGATGGACTCAACTTTTCTCGGGCCTGGGCTCTCTTCAATATAGCTGATAAAATAGCTGATCAAGATATGGTAAATATAGCTGATAAACTAGCTGATCAAGATATGGTAAATATAGCTGATAAACTAGCTGATCAAGATATGCTAAATATAGCTGATAAACTAGCTGATCAAGATATGGTAAATATAGCTGATAAACTAACTGATCAAGATACGGTAAATATAGCTGATAAACTAGCTGATTAAGATATGGTATTTACATAAAGCTGATAAGCTAGCTGATCAAGATATGGTAAATACAGCTGATAAACTAGCTGATCGAGATATGGTAAATATAGCTGATGAACTAGCTGATTAAAATATGGTAAATATAGCTGATAAACGAGCGGATCAAAATATGGTAAATACAGCTGATAAACTATAGATCAAAATATGATAAAAACAGCTGATAAACTACAGATCAAATGGTAAATACAGCTGATAAACTACCTGATCAAAATATGGTAATACAGCTGATAAACTAGCTGATCAAAATATCGTAAATACAGTTGATAAACTATCTGATCAAGATATGGTAAATACAGTTGATAAACTAGCTGATCAAGATATGGTAAATGCAGTTGATAAACTAGCCTTTATCGCCGGAATGTTATTTAAATTATTTATTCCTGCGGGCAATGAAGACAAATAACTTCCCTCTATCCAAGTGATTGTTAAAATATTTTTTTATTCTAAAAACTGACAAATTGCCAGAACTATACAAAGAATCATAATTATATTTTTAGAAATCTCGTCTGGTTAGAATGGGAGATGAACACATTTTGAAGAGCATTGATTATGTTGTTGGTAAGACAAACAAAATATTCGTTTTTATATATTATAGGTCTTTAGAGCTCAAGTATAGGGTTAGCATTGAAATTGAATTTGGAAAAGATAGCGCAGGGAGCAGCAAAAGAATATTGAGCCTAATTACTTAATTTTTACAAAATCTTCAAATTATCTAGGCTATTTAATTTAAGCTATATAATATAATTATCTAAGCTATTAAAGGGCCTTTTTTACTTATATACGGAAAGGAAATGGAGTCTTTGCCACAAACTCAATTTTTCTAATCCCTACATCTTTGCAAAATGATGATGTGCACCTTTGATATTTTAAATTTAAATCATTAATCTAATATAATTCATAATTCTTAATATCTAAGGTCTACAAAACATTGAGTAACAAAGATATAAGGATAGGAAAATAAGAGTTTGTGGCAAAGACCTTTGAATATTTGTTGATAAGAATATAAATATTGAAAAATATTGCTTAGGAAGTGATTATGCCGGCTCTCATTGGTTGGCATCATTCCTCTTCAATGCTTTGGAAGTCAGAAACAAAAACAATATTTCAAGCTAATCAATCCATGTTTCAACTGATTGGTGATATTCAATATCTTTCTATTGATTGGTAATCAATTCAATCAATTCCTTTTTCAGTTGATTAATTCAATCCATTAACGAATTTTTTCAGTTGATCGTTAATAAATTCAAACAATATATTTAATTTTCTGTTGATCGTTAATCTTTTTATTTTTCAAATGATCGTTAACGAATCAAATAAATAAATTTATTTTTCAATTGATCGTTGATTTATTCAATTAAATAATCCATTTTTTGATTGATTGTTAATCAATACAATCAAATTATCCATTTTTCAATTGATTGTTGATCAATTTAATAAATAAAAGGACTTTTTAATTTATTATTAATCAATTCATTTAATTGACCGACTTTTTAATTGATTATTTACCAAATCAATCAACCGAATCTTTAATTGATTTTTGATCAATTTAATAAATCAAGCAATTTTTTTATTGATTTTTGACAAATTTATATAATCAATCGATTTTTCAATTGATTATTCGTTAATTCGATCAATCAATCAATTTTTTAATTGATATTTGTAAAATTATTTTAATTACTTTACCTTCACTATAAAAAATGAAATGCTTCTAAATTATTTGAGCAATATCTACCCATTTTATATTAAATCAAATATTAGAATTTGAGCTCTGTAAAGTTTTAACATGAAATAAATTTCAAATTAGAGACTTTGTTTAATTAAATACACATATTATTAAAAAAACCTTAGATCTTAGATTAATATTTGAAATTGTGTATTCATGATGATCCAAACCTCTATAGGGTAAATAAAGAAGGTGTAAAGTTCCACATTTTATTGAAAATATATTTCGGTCTGGCCGGACCTTTTTTAATTCTATAGATATAAAAAAAAACTTTAAAATCAATATTTAAAAATATTCAAAAATCCAAAGAAAAAAATTTCATTTTTAATAAATGAGTTGAAAATGACCCTCTTGTATGCCGAGTCCATTAGCTTCTGATCCAATCAGGGTTCAGGTGTCTATTCTGAACCAATAGAAATTGCATGGCGGTAACATTTATCTTTCTATCTATCTCATTATCCAATTAGTGATGATTCCTTATATCGTCGCTATAACAGTAAAAGGAAATATTTACATCTACTAAAACTATAGTCATGAGATAAAAGGAAGTAAACGAATGTTATAAAGATAAGTGGCAAATATTTACTTTTAAAAGAAAGTTTAAATATAATTACTATTTCTTGATATTTAATTATATATGTTATATATCTATATGATAAGGCTCTTCGCTCATACATACAAATATGTTTGTAGTATATATATTTATTTGTCAGCTATAGCTGACCAAATGGCTGCATCAAATTGGGTGGATTTTTTTTAAGGAAACTCAGGGGTATTCCGGGGGTAATAAAGGCTAAAAAAACGATTTCAATTTTTTTATTTTTTCATAAATTTTTTAATTTTACGGGCAACGCCGGGCACTTCAGCTAATTTATGATAAAGCTCTTCGCACATATATAAATATATATTTGTAAATATATATATATTTATATGTTAGCTATAATTGACAAAACGGCTGGGCCGAATGTGCAGACAATTTTTTAGCAAACCCTTGAGTATCCCGCGGGTAACAAAGGCTAAAAAAATTCAAAATTTGATTTTTTTAAATTCCACGGGCAACGCCGGGCACATCAGCTAGTTATATTTATAGTTTAAGAATGTGATTATTTCATCGCATCGTTTAGTTAAAACAGATTTCTATTTATCAATTTCTACAATCATGTAAATGTGAGAATAAACATTAAGAAAAAGTGATCTGTAAAAAAGACAATTACTTTGTTTACATTTTACGGTTTAAGGACAAAACATGTAAACAAATTATTTATAAACTAATTTGCTGTTTAGGAACATATTTATTTTCAATTAAAGCCATAGTAGAATCGTAGAATTGATCATTTCTTTATCACGATTACCTTTGCTGTTTCTAAAGAAACTAGCACGTTTTCTTCAAAATGTCGTCTTCACAATAAAGATAAAGAAAACCTCCAACAAGCGACCCTAGCTGAAAGAACTTGCATAGACCTAACAGATTTGAAAATTGATTTTAATAACTTAATTTCGAAGCTGATTATTTTTCTTACTAGGCTATATGTGAACTTCTATGCTCTGCTGGAAAAATTAAATCAAGAGATGAAGACAAGAAAAAGAGCGGAAGGCAAAGCAAAGTAAGTCTAAGAGTACTTTTACTGTTTTGAAGATGAAATTAACATAGTGATGATGAAAATGAAAATACTTATAATGATGATGATAATGGTAGTAATTATAGTGATGATGATAATGATAATAATTATGTTGATGATGATGATGGTGAGAATAAAAATTATTATTTAAGCATATTAAAATAATACCCCTCTACTTACAGTACTAACGTACAAACGTAATAAACTTTACCGCTAGGAAGCTAAAATTTTTTAGCTTTTCGTCTTCATTGTATTGATACATGCGACGACGACTGTAGAAAAAAAGGAAAATGTTGACTCTCAAACTCTCTCACTCTTTCAAGAAAGTATTGTCCGTATAACAAATAAAAGCACTATAAAGGTTGAAATTTTTGAAATAATTCTCTGAACATGTTTTGTTTTCAAAAAATCTCTTTTGTCAGATTAAGATATCCTTATATTTTTCCTAGAAAATTGATCTTTTTATTGGGCTTTCTGGTTCAGAAACAATGGAGGAAATTGTGATAATTAAACACAATTCAAGCTAAAAAAAAATTAAATCGAACGCAGAACAATCACAGTGTTTTAAAGGTTGCAAGCTTTTAATCAAAAACCGATGATAATTTTGCCAATTACTTTATAAAAACTAAAGGTAAAAACAAGTGAATTTTATTTTTAAAATGTACATGAATAGTGCTACTTAAAAGTACAAATGAGATAGTGAGGTAAAACAAGGGTAAGGCGTTGCGACACTTAAAACCAATAGCGCTTTTAAACAATAAAAATAACAATATTCAGCTAAAAGTAAAGCAAACTTAATATTTAAATATTTTAAAAATTAGAAGACACTTATTCCACAGTCCACTATTACTATTATATTGGCCAAAATAACTATTTTCGGTTCCTGGCTTTTATTCAAACATAATTCTAATTTTTAATCTAGCTACATATATATACAGGGTTACCCACAAAGTATGAGACTTTAGTGACGACCTTCAACAATGATTAGACGTCTAAACAATAAACATGGCTTTCTTCCTTGAGATATGACATAATGATTGATTTAGCACAGAAAGAACTACAGGAAACCCTAAGTATAAGAGTAAATTCCGATTAAAGATTCCGTGCAGTCTGTGGAAAGCTGGTTTTAAAGTATTTGCTGACGGAAGATTTTTGAATATTTTGAAAGAAATATTTGAATTAAAAACTAGAGGTATTTATAGATAGTGGTAAATAGGAAGAACTAAAGGTTTAAATAAGGAGCCAAGGAGCAAGGCTGATGAGCATCGCAGTCCTTAGCTCAAAAGGAGAACGTGGAATCTAAAAAATCTGCGAAACTGAAACCTGACAAATCCACCCGGAGCTAGCCGTAATTCTGATCCATTCTGAACACGTGGGAAACGGCCATCTTGGTTTCCCGCTCCGAGGTTTCAGATTTCACTTTCAACGATAATTCAGGATTCCACTTTCAAGGGCGGAATTCCAAAGGGATAGAGCACATTAACTCTCATATCCAATGGATGGCACTATCAATTTTGATTGTCAATGGTTGATGTTTGATTTCAGCACTTATAGATTCTCAACGTTTGCAATTGCGGTTTCCAGGAAATCTTGAAGAACGGAGAGATTAGCTTCAGTGAGGTAAGGAGAAATGCTGGAGGACAGATCGGACAGAGATCGTCCAGTGGGGAAGGTTAGGTTGATTCCTACTGCTGCGAGAACAAGTGCTCCAGCAATAGCGATAGCGATGAGAATAATCTTTTTCTTGGCGAGAGCAGCGATAATTGCAGCAATTCCACCGCCGATGCCCAAGAGACCACCGTCATCATTGGCAGGAGCAGCGTAGGACTGGGGATTGTTCTGTTTGACGGGGTAGTAGTAATAGTAGTACCCCGAGCTACCTCCAGGAGCAGCTTGAGCAGGAGCAGCATAGGTCTGAGCAGCAGGAGCAGCATAGTTGTTCTGAACAGGAGCAGCGGGGGATCCATATTCATCAGCTACTACAGGGGCCTGGGGGGATCCGTATTCATCTCCAGCAGGGGCAGCAGCAGCTGATACAACAGGAGCAGCTGCACCGTGGTCATGCCCGTGCCCGGCATCATGACCGTGTCCGTGGTCATGGTGACCACCTGTACCGTCTCCAGCGACAGCAGCGATAAGAAAAGCTAGTGCACAGATAAATCTCATATTGTTCCTGAAATAAAAAAAAAAAGTTGATTAATATCTTTTTATAAAAAGAATGCTTTAGTTCCTTTTAAAATGTATTTACGATTTTGAGATACATTTGTGTAATTTACTTCATTACCAAGAGCATACAATACACTGAGAGGTGCAAAATCCCCTTCTCCCCTATTCCATGGATTATTATTTACATTTAAAAACTTTTGACATTTCTTATTTATTTTCTAATGAACAATTCCCCCTGCTCCTGCCCCTGCAAGATTACCAGTTTTATAGCTGATGGGTTAAATATCGTGCAGTTTAAACGTAAGCGTGTAAAAAGAAGATTTTTTTTCTTTATATTTTCGTGAGAATTTTCAACCACAAATCCTAACATTTTCCCAATAATATTACGAAATTGGTCGAATTTGCAATACAGAAATCTGGTTTAAAAGTTTGAAAACCAAATCAATTCTAAATAATTTGTTATGTTATTTTTTACTTTACCAAATCTTGGAAAAAATTTCTAATTTGTTTTACATAATAATCAAATCAACTATATATGCTTATACACTTTGCACGATTATTTTAAATCTTTTCATATATTTTATCCAAATTTTAGCTTTTGTTATATTCGAAATGATTATCGCAAAATTGATATTTGTAGCAGAAGTAAGATTTTCAAAACTAGTGTAGTTTGTTATTATATAATAAAATCAATAATTATTTACAATTATAAAAAGAAGATAATTTATCATTACATAATGAAAATTAAAACAAAAATAGCATGTAGATACAAGTTATTTATTGATTAATTAAAACTGTTTAAACATTTTGTAGAAATTTTCTAAAAAATGCAACCCAAAAAAAGTTTTGAATGACGGCCTATTTGTATTTGTGTCAAATATGTGTCAAATCTCAATAAACTTGTACTTTCACTATTTGTTTAAAGGATTTACAAGAACACCACACCTTAGCTCCCCCCCCCCGTCCATTATTAATCAAACTTAGAAACTGTGTTTTAGATGTTCTCAAATCAAAGTACATAATGGAAATCAAGTAAAGAGTAAAGAGTTGAACAAAAAGTGTGAAACGAAGAAATAGCTAGGTCAAAACCTCAAATATGGGAGCTCATAGATAGATATTTTCCGGCAAGTTTCACTCTCTTACATCCTATGCATATCAAATAGGAGAGAACCCTAAAACGTCTGAATACAAAACGACATAATATTTTCATAAATCAAGTTAAAAGAATTTACAACCTTTTCCCTTTTACGAATACTTTCCTTCAATCATATTGTTTTTTCTTTTCCACGTTGTATTTAATTCCAATTCTTGTTTTAAAATAAAAATTTAGGTATTTTTATTTACCATACTAAACTATTTTTTACGTTTGGTCGGAAGGACGGGGGGGGGGGTATTGACCCCCAAAAATAACATCTCTAGCTTAAACATACAATAAAAATTATAAAACCTGGGAGGCTAGGACGCCTTCATCGATTAAAATTTGGAAATTTCTATCTTTAAATTATGAGAAAATATAATCTATAATCATTATCTACAAGTCATGACCAATTTGTTTAATTCCATAAAAATAAACCTTGATCTTATTTGAAAACTAAAGGTTTAAACGTTTCACGTACTTTACAACTAAGTCTGGACTCAAGTTGGCTTTGACCCAGAAAGCCAACTTGAACTGCTTGTTTTATTGCCGTTTTACTGCCTGCTTCTAACATATATTTGCATAAGAAGTGGCGGGGTGTGCAAATTTGGAATTGGTCAGCTAGAGATTTTTAAGAAAATTTTGGCATGGATAATTACTAGCAATTGTGAGTGTATTTGCTACGAAAAAAATGTGTGAGTTACATTACAAGAGTGAATCTATTGTGAGTTACTAGGATGTATTTACTGTATAATAAGTTATAGTGAGTTACTAATCATGTTTCTTTGTAATAAATTTGTATGTGGGTTTCTAGATTGAGTTAAATATGTTATTATGCTATTAAGTATGGTGAGTTATTCTAATTCATGTGTGTTCACTATGTATAAAGTAATTTCTATAGAGTGTTTACTGTGTACTCAGTGAGTGAGGTTACTAGAATGTGTTTACTATGAAATCAGTTATTGTGACCTACTAGTGTGTGTTCTTTATGTAATCAGTGAGTTGTTAAAGAATGTACTTTGTGAGTTACCAGAGTGTGCTTACTATGCAATCAGTTATTGTGATTTACTAATGTGTGTTCGTTCTGTAATCAGTGAGTTATTCAGTTATTATTGTGAGTTAAGTGATTGGATTTACTCTGCAATCAAATTTTGTGAATTACTATATTTTGTATTTTGTATTAGGTGAGTGTAAGTTACAATACTGTGCAGTGTGTGTTTGTTATTTAATTAATTTTTGTCATCAGTGTGAGTTACTTTAAGAGCGTGTTTAATTTGAAATCAGTTATTGTAAGTTACTATAAAGTGGGTTTAATGTGTATGTAACTAATTGGTATTGAGTTATTAGAGTTTTTTATTTCACTGTGTACTTTGGAATCTTGAGTTATACAGGTTAAAAATATGAGTAGATTGCGTGGAAGATGGGAGTAGGAAGAGTGGAAGATGGAAGTAGGATGACTAGAAGATGGGAGTAGGATGAGTGGAAGATGGGAGTAGGATAAGTGGAAGATAGAAGTAGGATGAGTGGAAGATGGAAGTAGGATGAGTGGAAGATGGAAGTAGGATGAGTGGAAGATGGAAGTAGGATGAGTAGAAGATGGTAGTAGGATGAGTAGAAGATGGAAGTAGGATGAGTAGAAGATAGGAGTAGGATGAGTAGAAGATGGGAGTAGAATGAGTAGAAGATGGAAGTAGGATGAGTGGAAGATAGGTGTAGGATGAGTAGAAGATGGGAGTAGCTGTGTGGAAGATGGAAGAAGTATGAGTGGAAGATAGGAGTAGGATGAGTAGAAGATGGGAGTAGGATGAGTGGAAGATGGAGGATGTATGTAAGGTGGAAGAAGAATTAACGGAAGGTAATGGGAAGGATTACAAGATGAAAATTAGAAGAGTTCAAATTAACAATGAAGGTCAAATGAAACAGAAAGTCTGGACGAGGGGGGGGGGGATTAATGATATTTCTCCAGTATATTCCCCTATACCTGTGTTCAGGGCTGAGAATATATATTGACTGGTTGTATATATTGTGTATGGTGGAGTAAAGCGGGCCTAAAGCCGACATACAGGACTTATGCAGATAGATAGATAGATATTTGACCACTACGCGCATACTAAGCATGCTAGAAATCTGAATGGGGATACACTTGAAGCTGAAACCCGTCTGTGAAACACAAACACACACACACACACACACACACACTGGGCCGCTTTCTTCGCCCTAGGCATCTCCGAAACTATACGCTAGACTAGCAGAGCCCTGTGTGGTCTCTCTCCTATATAGTTCTAAACCTAACCTTCATATACCTAGCTCATGCACCAATCATTATTCAGTTTGGGGGCCGGGTCATTATATTAATTGTTTAGAGACAATTAAGAATTATTCTAATGATGCACAACATTCCACATCAGGACTCGGGGGTTGACCTATTAACAATTTTAATAAATTATATCCCTCCCTCCTCCCCCCCTCTCTATCTCCCCAGGTTCGCTTCGCCAAGAGTTTAAAAAAATCCACGAAGTCCTAAATTGGCTAAATCTGTGAAAACTCTTCCTTTCTTTACTTTGGCGGGAAGTATGATTGCTTGTTACGATGTTGTTCCATGATTCAGCGGAATCTCCGAGCACCACAAATCCAGGACAATGTTGGTATTCAAGTAGAAGAATATGTAAACAGACCGCAATAAAAGCCAGCTCACGAACCTTGTCCTAAATGATGTCACACAATTTCCTTCATTCTTAACATTACCACAGTTCAAATACTTCTTTTATATGAAGTCATAAACTGGTCACAGCATTAAATCCCTCTATTGATAATTCTTTAAAGTAAACTTTTTATGTATTCAGTGTCCAGTATCCAGTATCAAGTATTGAATGTCTAGTATTTAGTATTTAGCAACTAGTATCTAGGATCTCGTATCTTGTATCTTGTTGAGTGCTCAAAATAAAAAGGGGCAAGGAATGGTAGGGGTATTGAAGTTCAAAAAGCACCAGTATGTGGGTGCTAAAAAGAATTCATGGTTGCCTAAATTTAAAGAAGTACCCAAAACTACGCGGGAAAACGGGGTGAGCAGCTGTTCTAAAGACTGGAATATACTTCGGATGGCCAAAAAATTCAATGAAAAAGCCACAGAATAGATATTCTCTTTGGGAAAAGGGGGCAGTGTAGTGTATCGGAACGATAAAGAGTAAGTGATAAAAGAGTGTAATTAGTGAATATCAAAACCACAAAGGCATAACAAATGTGTCACCAATACAATTGTGGCTGAGGTCCACAACCGTGCTTAAAAATGTGTGATCAACATAAAGTGGGGGAGGGGGGGTCCAAAACCAAGTGAAAAGAACTAAACCCCAAGGGCTTGAGAATGTGCCCTAGGAGAACACAAGGGGGGGGGGAGATTCAAGGATACCCAATAGAGACAAGGTTGAGGACAGCGCCAAAGACACAATTAATAATATGGCCTAAATCATACTGATTTCAACAAGTTATACGTTGGTTGCATAGAGTAATGAAACTCTATGGTTGTTTGTTTGATGTCAGCCAAAAACAGACTCCTGGATCTATAGCCTAGGATGATAGTTCTCTATAACCTGTGTGCTCAGTTAGCTGTACTGCAAAGGATTAGCGTACATCATCACTCTTTACACCATAACTTCCTTGATCTAAGCTAAAAAGAGATCCAGGGGTTTAAAGAATACAAAAGACTAGATTGGGAACCCAGCTTTGCCCGGAGTTTTTTCTATCAATGTCGGCTTACTCAACTTAAAATGTTAAAACCAAGTTATGCACATTCCTGTGGTTTTACAGAGTTTTCCAAACAAAATTGAGACAAATCGGTCAAGGATTTTATGAGTTATGATCGAACATCAGACAGACAGAAAAACAGAGATGATTACTTCATATATAGATAACGTTGAACGCAGTGTTTCTGTCAAATTCTCAAAAAATATTTGATATTGCAGTATGGAAACAGTACAACAAAATGGCCGTTTTACACTTTTTTCTAGTAAATTCCTCTCTATATATTCTGTTCTCTATGGTTACAACAAAATCGTAAATTGAACATGACGAAGCAGGACACAAGTTTCTCACATTAGTTTTTTTTTTATTTCAGTTAAAATTTTGCATGTTTTAGTTACAGCTCCTTCTAAAGATCTGCTGAAAAGAAATCCCACATAATTTATCAAAACCAAGTATTTTTCCCATGAGTCCCATATTACCGACGCATGCCAATTGTTTTATCTCAATATAATATAACATTTAAAGTAGTGATATCATAATTAGTTCAGGGACCCCTGGACCGATTTGCCTTACATATTAATCGAGGAACTGAGTAGAACTACGGTTATGATTTAGTTCGAGTGTGTTGACTTTTCTAAAGTCTAGTTTCCAGGGAAAGCTGAGTTCCCAAGTTAACATATTATTAAGGTATAATAAGGCAACAAAATCATTTTTTTATCTCTCTTGAATGTAGATTTTTTGTATCTTTAGTATATAGTGAAAGTCGGGTAGTAAATAAAAAAAAAGTATGAATGTTCATGATAATATATGATATTGTCCGGCACTAGTAGTTCTATAGTTAGCTGTGTGAAAACTATAGGTTCAAAGTACACATAGATCAAGACAAATAATGCATCAGTTTGTAAGACGGGGTCGACTCTGAAGTAGTGAAATGCAAGGGGTTTACTAATCCACGTACACTTTTGTGTAGACCTTGACAAGAACATTTTAAAATCACAACTGTATAGTTTCTAACTTAGGTTTAAAAAAGCACTTGGAAATATCATGATAAATGTTTGCATGAGAGTTTGCATAGTAGCACACACCGCCTTTATAGATTAAACAAGAGATTTGAACCCTATCTTGTATAAATCAATTACTACATAAAATCATCAATAAATTAAATTTAATATTGAGGTTTCTTTCTTTAAAACGCATTGTCATGCAATGGTTTCTACATAGGTAACACAGATTATAGAGATGGGATAAATGCAAATGCAATAATATCGAACAGTGTTCTTGTTGGAAAAATCACATTATTTTATAGAGCACTTTATTACCTTTTATTATTATAGTCTGTGAATTGTTGGGCAAACAGCCAGAGGCGTATTCAGGGGGGTATTCCTAAATACGCCCCTCTGCAAACAGATTAGATCCTTTTTCAAGACTTATGAGTTTTTGGACTTTTCAAGGTTCCACAAAACTCTAAGAAGTTTTACAAATTTCAAAAGCTGTTTATTCTAAACATTTGCGTTCCTTACATTTCATCAAATCTTTATCCTATGGGAACATATTTGCAAAAACCAAACCAAAAACCTTCAAGGTGTTGAAAAAAGAACAAGGCTATGATGCCCAACCTCTCAGATAGAGTTTTCAAATTTATTTCGTCCTCACATAGATTTAGCCTTCTTATATAAACAGTTTCATCAATTTTAAAGACAGGGTCGCAACGCCTTGGGCTTTAGTTTTACCGTTTTTATAATCTACACTGTAAATAACTCATTTATGCTTTCCTTGAGTCCTTTCCATGTACATTTTACGACTATAAAGCACTTTTTGTTAGCTTTGGTTTTAGAGAAGTAATTTGCAAATTTCTCATAGATTTTTGCTTGAGAGCTTACAACTTTTAAGTTACAGTGTCCTATCTGTAAAATCTGTGAAGTTTAAATCCTGAGTTTTCTCAATCAAGCATGTTCCTTGGATTAATTACGTGAATTATGTGTAATAAAACGATATCAACAATATAATCATAATAGATCATACTTTAAGGGACTGCAGGCGTAGTTTCTTCAGAATCTTTTTTTGTAGAGTGTCATATTCGATTCTCAATGCTGCCCTTTGCTTGCTTTGACTGATTCAAGAATGAATGAGTTTTTTATACAGCCCCTTTAAACTATTAATCACAAAAATATTGCCATGTTAAACAACTTACCTTCATTCAACTCAGAACTAATGTTTTGACTTTAAGTCAACCTAATTGTATAGGTTATGAGGGACAGCTTTCGTTTTTAAAAAATTCATTTTGAAATCTTGGAATATTTTGTTTGTTTATTTTATGATAATTTCGATTTTTATTTGTAAAGCAAAAACTTCTCAATTTGTTAGGAGACAATTCGTTTAAGCCAATGCAAAATTTAGAAAACGCTAAATAAGAATTTGTCCTTGAACAAGTCCGATTTCTGAAAATTTAAACAAATATTTTGATATGGAAACTGAAGGCCTAAGGAGTGAGGGTCTATCTATCTATCAAGGAAAAAGACCGGAAGAATGAAGAAACTTTGTGCAGTTAATGAACTAGTTCCTGCCTCAATAAAAATGAATTCGTCCAATGCATTGGCAAAATGCACAATACGCCCCAAATATATGTAAAAATACTTTTAATTGTTTTGCCGGATTGACGCAATAGTTGATTTCGTATGGGAGGGATGTAAATAATGGGGGGGGGGGGATATTTTCCAGTAATGCGTAGGTCCAGGCCGTAAGTGGAGTATGGTTTAAGACGGGTGTAAACATGTGTAAATGCTTACACTGGGGGAAATTGATTCTATTTGGTTCAAGGTTAGAGCTTGAGGTCCTTATATAGACACAGCCTTTACCATACAGAGTACATACATAGATACTGTACATGGAATATACACTGTGCAGTACATAAAATAAACAAGGTTCAGGTTACAGCTTCAGGTCCTTATATAGACACAGCCTTTACTATAGACTTGAAAAGAATTCAGTGATAAAAAGCCAAGATTGAGTGGAATAACAAAGCATGGTTGCACACACATATATTTACATTATAACGATACAAAAGATTATTGTTGGACCAATTAAAGTTGATCAAAATATGCATGACTTTCGCCAGGGGCGAATATATTTCCATTTGACTCTTCTGATCAGATGCTTTGTGCTAACTAACTTCCCTATGGAACTCCATGGCTAAGATCGCTAATAATCTGCTTTCTCTGCTGGCAAGATAAATGCCGTTCTCTAGATAAGAAAGAGGGTTCAATACCCATTTCCTCTACACTGTTACTCCTTTCTCCAGCATCGATCCTTGCGCCCTGGGGCTGGTGGGTGGTATCTCTAGGTAAGAGAAGGAGTTCAATGGCCCTTTTGGACTGGATGTGCATTATTTCTCCAACTGAGAGCAATGAACTTATATGAGAGTATGTACAATATACTTTAAGTATAATATGCACTGTGCACAGTACATGAAATAAACAGATTAACAAGGAAGCTTCAGGTCCTTAAATATAAATACATTAGACACAGCCTTTACAATATACAAACATAGATACTGTACATATGATTTACACTTTAGTTAAGTGGATTTGAATTTAGTGCAATTGTAGATTGATAACCTTTTAATGATCCAACTAATATGTTTTTGAATGCAATCTTTTTTTAAAGTTTCAAATCCGTTTATAAATATACACCATGTACATGTAATGTACAAATTTAATAATGTACAACACGCTAATTATATACTTGTACAGTACTTGTGAGCCACAAAACATCTTACAACTATACGGTCACTACTAAGCACAGTTGTTGACTTTAAAAGTCAATATAATAAAATAAAAGAGATCTAATGGTATTTCTAACATTTATTTAATAAAAACGAAAGTTTTGAAATAGTTTCCCAAGTAGGGTTAAAATTGGTTGGTTAATATTAATAAAGAAACTATAAATTGACAATCAGTAGCAACTTCATGTGAGCTATGTAGAGCTTCATGTTGGTAGTGCAGATCAACTAGAACTGTAACAGCAGGTTTCTGCTCTCTCCAGGCTCTCGTAGGATATATAATCCCCTACAAAACTTCCAGGTTCAATTAGTAAACTCTTTAGAGATGAGATTATCCTCATGTGGCGGAGCGTTAGAACTCTTGGAACATCTTGATGGGCTGGATGTAAGCATCGTCTGCTGCTGCTCAAGTATCTATATTAACAACATGCAGGAGCCAGGGTAGCTCTCTGAGACTGAGTTGTGATCATCTTCACACATCTTGAAAATAGGCATCGGCATTTGAGTCGGTACAATCGTCTTCCTTATATTTCGAATTTGTTTTAACAACAGTATATTCAAATGTTCCGATGCACACTACATAGAGTAGAGTACATACATTCCCTACTTTGTGTTAACACCAATAGTCCTGTAAATCGAAGTAAGAGATTGTTCAACATTTCATTTCTTTACATTACAAGCTTGGTAACCCAGCGTTGCCTGCAAACAAAACTTGTTCATGAGTTATTACCGGACATACAAACAGACAAATAGAAATTACTACTTTTTATATATACTAGCTAGGAAACCTTTAGTGGCTAAGGGAAGTCAAAGTTAGTCCCACCATTTGTCGAAATTTGCTATTTTAGCTATTTATCCTGTAAAAAGTAGACCTACTCAGTACTCAACTTAGCATATCAAAATTAAGCAAAGAAGATTCCTGTGGGTCTCCCGAGTTCCCCCATCAAAATTTGAGGCAAATCAAACCAGGAGTTCCTTAGTAATGATCGGACAAACAGATAGACAGAGATTACAAAGTTATCCCTATGGAACTCCGGGGTAAGATTGCTGACGATCTGCTTTCTCTGCCGGCAAGATAAATGCCGTTCTCTAGATAAGAAAGAGGGTTCAATACCCTTCCCTCTACACTGTTACTCCTTTCTCAAGCATCGATCCTTGCGCCCTGGGGGTGGTATCTCTAGATAAGAGAAGGAGTTCAATGGCCCTTTTGGACTGGATGTGCATTATTTCTCCAACTGAGAGCAATGAACTTATATGAGAGTCTTAGCATATCAAAATTAAGCAAAGAAGATTCCTGTGGGTCTTCCGAGTTCCCCCATCAAAATTTGAGGCAAATCAAACCAGGAGTTCCTTAGTAATGATCGGACAAACAGATAGACAGAGATTACAAAGTTATATAGATATATATATATGTATATATAGATTAGATACCTTAATTTTAAATGTAGGATTACAACTAAAGGTATACTGGGCCGGTTGACATGGAAAAGGTTTTAATTTGTAGATAAAGTTCAATAAAGTTCAAGTTCAGTTTGTTTTTAATCTTTGTGACAGAAACAATCTCAAGAACTGATGAGGGTCAACCCAGACCGAAATATATTTTCAATAAATGTGGAACGAACTCTACTTTTTTTACTCTACAAAAGTTTAGTTCATCACCAACACCGACTTTTAGATAAAGTTCTTAATAGTAGATTTTTTTTTATTAAAACAAAGCATACATACTTATTCCACTGTAGTTTGTACAAAAATACTTAAATAGATATATTTGAATTATATAAAATACATGTAAAACTAAATCATTACTGGCATTTGTAGCTAAAGAGACCAAAACTAAAACTAAATTTAGTTTGTACAGCATCAACTTAAGTATCTTTAAACCCTTTATTTACAGGTATAAAATATATAATTTAAGCGTATCTTGGTAAGGGTAAGAGTTATCATTTGTGTCAGTGCAGTACTTTTAACACTTGTACTTTCCTTTTTGATTTTTTAAATTGGAGAATTTTCAAACATTAAATGAGAGTTTTAAACATAAGATAATGCAGTTTTAATAGTAAATGTTAAACGAATTCTTTTGTAGGAAATGTAAACAAAATATCAACTGAGGTCGAAATTAATGAAGCACGAGAATTAGTTGAACTAGGTTTCCCAAGTAAAACTTACTTTTCATAAACACTTTCCGAGCCAAAGTAGTTCAGCTACTTCTCGCTATTCATTACATCCAAAATTTGAAATCTTAATATTAGAAAAATCTTTTTAATTCTTCATTTTGTTGTCTAAGCATTTGGTTCTCACGTTTAAGTTCCTCCAAGCCGGTCATTTGCTCAAGGTAGACCCGGGTATCCTCCTGAAAAAGAATTAAATGACTAGGGGTTCAATATTTCAATGAAAGGGCTGTATTCCAAATGACTCTCCAGTCTCCATTTGAGGAGGGGGATGCTTGATTCACAACAGTACCCTTGGACATATTTATCTGATCAATAACTTGCAAGATGTTTTAAACCTTGAAAAGTTTTGAAATAAAACAATCTTTTATAAGATTACCATGACAAATTAGACCCTATAACTGGAGGGCCACTTGAAATAATTGCTTTATTTTCTTTAAATAGTGACCCCCCCCCCTTCTTCTACACGAATAATTGGAGATTTTTTGAAGTATACAGATAAGGCTATAATACATGTTGAGTATTATCTGTTCTACTACACCTATACCTGGTGCTGTTGAAGTATACGGATAAGGCTATAATACATGTTGAGTATTATCTGTTCTACTACACCTATACCTGGTGCTGTTGAAGTATACAGATAAGGCTATAATACATGTTGAGTATTATCTGTTCTACTACACCTATACCTGGTGCTGTTGAAGTATACGGATAAGGCTATAATACATGTTGAGTATTATCTGTTCTACTACACCTATACCTGGTGCTGTTGAAGTATACGGATAAGGCTATAATACATGTTGAGTATTATCTGTTCTACTACACCTATACCTGGTGCTGTTGAAGTATACGGATAAGGCTATAATACATGTTGAGTATTATCTGTTCTACTACACCTATACCTGGTGCTGTTGAAGTATACAGATAAGGCTATAATACATGTTGAGTATTATCTGTTCTACTACACCTGTACCTGGTGCTGTTGAAGTATATGGATAAGACCATAATACATGTTAAGTATTATCTGTTCTACTACACCTATACCTGGTGCTGTTGATGTATACGGATAAGACTATAATGCATGTTAAGTATTATCTGCTATATTACACCTATACCTGGTGCTGTTGAAGTATACGGATAAGACTATAATGCATGTTAAGTATTCTCTGTTCTACTCCTCCACACCAGTCCTGCATGGCCTCACTAACAACCTCCTCAAGATATCTTCTATTAAACCCATCTGCTCCTGAGCTAACTCCAGGGTTGGTTACTGACCCTCTAGGACGAGGTTTGGAGATCGAAGATACAGAATCTGGATTCAGCTCACTAGAAATCAGCAAAATATTTAACTTTTTTAGATTTATGAATTTTGTGTGTTACTAGACGAGATGTAAAAAAGGAAGTGTTCTAGAAATATAAAAATAAAATAAAAATAAAAAATAGATTGCAAATTTCGTAAAATGATTACTTACCCTGTATAAGGAGTGCTAAGAAACGCTGGATTAATGGAATGGAATGCTGAACTAATCCCATGATGAATATTAGGAAGAGGAGGACTAATCTCTGAATCAAGAAAAACACCGGGAAATGCCGCCAAAACAGAGTTGAGATCACCTTGTCCGCCATCTTGATTTTGTAATTTAATTCTAGATTCTTGGTTTGAAAGCCTTGATTCAATGTCTAAAGGTATTCCTCCGTGTTCTGAACTTCTTGTTGTCTGCTCCGACCCCTCTGTATCATAGATGGACTCAAATACGGGTGAACTAGAACAGGTCAGTGACCTTGCGACCTCGGTTAAAGTGTCAAGACATAGCTTTTCAACGGGTTTAGGTTTAACAATCTCAGCTGCTGATACTGAACAAATAAGAGAAATCAGAAGGAAAAAATTAATGAAAATTTTATTAAAATCAGAAATAATTTGGAAACTCAATTAATTTTTGAGCAACTAATTATTTCATTAAAATTAATAATTTGTACGAAAATAAACTTAAATTAAGTTGTCATTTCTTCCAACTCACCGATAGCGCGATTACTGAGAATGGGTGGGACGGAGGATTCCTCCTGGAAAAATACATACTTGATAATAAACATGTTTTCAAAAGGGAATTTTGTCTTTCAACTTACGAGGAAGGGGGGAATAGAATTAGACATGGAAGAAATCACGAAAAATTTATCATTCATTATGAAGAGAATTCTACCGATCGTTTTGTCAATCAATTTTTCGAGCTTTGTGTTCCGGTAAAACTAGTTTTTGTTGCTGATATTTTGCCTATTTGAACCGATTTAGAAAAAGAACAGCACCCCTCCCTACCAAAAAAATCAAATAAGACTTTTAGAGATGTCTTACTTCCACACTTTAATCCCAAAATGACTTGACTGTAAACTTTGAAACGTTAAGATTTGTCAAGCCACTAGACGGCAAATTATTAAAAATAAAAATATATATATTTTGATCAGCGAGGTTACATAAATCGAACTCTGTTGTAAATCTGATATAATTTTAAAGTATGTACATCCCTGTATACTGGTGAGAGGAGAGAGAGCAGGGGTAAATACTGTTCTTCTGCTTAGATTCAAACTGTTCTGTTCGTCTCGTATTGGAGAGAATATACCCTCCGTAGACAGACGAACCTCGCTCACTCGTCGGGACGAACTTTTGCTGCTGAAATTACAAGATTAAAATAACAATAAAAATCAAACAGTTGTTGATAAAAAAAATAACTAAAAAAGTAGGGGCTGGGGTAGGGAGAGTACATTGCCCCCATCCCAGCAGGAAGATTAGTGTTAAGCTACCTGGTAGGATTTGGTGTGCTCCCTGTAAAACTGGATTCAGGTTCTCGGAGAGGAGAGAAGAGGAAGGATATGCTATCTCTCCTGAAAATGTTCAATCAAATCAAATATTTATGCACAGGGTTACCCACAAAGCATGAGACTTTAGGGAGGATTGTGCGGGATTTATACTCTCTGTGTCCTTATATTCAAACTTGTAAACTTTCTTTTTTTGCTTAAACTTAAACATTGGGATCGTCATACTTCAAAAGCTTGTAAACGTCTTTAAAATCTCATTCTTTATGGATAACCCTGTATGATATAATTTGAGATATGTTTTCCAATTTGTCAGAAATATAAAGACATATTTGAACCAGGTCAAATCAAATCATTCTTTTAGGGAAGTCCTACACCCACACTCCAAAATTGAAGTGACTATACTAAATCAATAATGAAGTGAGGTCTTACGATTTGTAATTTTTGCTAATTTCCACTTGGTTATTAAAAATATGAACCAGATATTATCAACAGCATTTAGTAGATTACCCCACTGTGTTTAGAATTGTAAGAGTCCAATAGTAAACTGCTCAACAATACATGCGACTATTTACAATTTAAATTATACACTGCAGTAAATTACATTGCTGTGTACATAAATTGTTCACAATTGAGACTAATAATGATCATCGTTTTGAGGTTTTGAGGTTTTGAGGCACCCTTTTTCAATATTCAAAGTTTTAGTTTGTTTAAAGGCCCCACAAAATCTGAGATGCAAATCCTATTTTAAAATTTCATACTAGACAAGTTTGCTTTTGATACATTATGTAACATTTTTACTCTGGCCAGATATAAAACAGAAACGAAAACAAAAAACTATTTTCTAATCGTTGAGAAAAATGGTTTTGGTTAATATATTTGATCAGAAAAGAATTCTTATAATGTAATTATGCACACTTAAAGAAAATACAATTTTGCAATTTAATTAATAACTCCCTTTTTATGTAAAAAATCCTAAATGTCTCAAAACATTCGGCCACTATGAAATCAATTCCAAATGTTGTTTGTGACAAATAGGAGTTGGAAATTTGGAGTAGATCGATGAACTCCCCTAAGGAAGGAACTTTTTTTCTCCCGGATTCATACTCTTTCTGAGTTCTGCGGCATTTAAGCCTGAGGGGTTACCCATTGGAGTTGCATTACAAAATGGGAAGTTGTAGGTTTTGTGACTCAGAATGTGGTATTTTCGACAGCAGTCCGTTCTTCATAGTCGGCTGAGTATCGAAGCTGGTAGAGTAAAAAACCGGCATCAAATTGCATAGTTACCAACCTCTCACGATTCTTTTTTCTATGTTTTTGTATTTCTTGTTTCTAGTGAGATTTTCTTTGTTTGTTTTTAAGGTGTGGTGCCACCATGTTAATTTTGCACAGTGCTCACCAGGTGAATCCTCTCTCCAGCTACTTACAGAGGAGCACTGAATTTCTATGACCTAACCGTGCTGATGCCAGCCCGCAACTGCGAGGCCCATAACTAATTGTAACAATGTTATTCACCTGGTGGTAACTACACTGGAATCTGATTCTGCAGGACTATGAACATCTAAACTCTCAACCTAAAGGAGTACCCTTGAAGTGACTGTAAGCGTAATTTGAAGTGAAGGCCCCCATAAAAAGATGACAATGCTCGATTCACAGTACGGTATTCTTGAAACCTTTATCTCATCAATAATGTGAAAGAAATTGTGGTTTTTCTAGGTTTAAAAGTTTCTAATTCTTCTAATTCTTATATGTTTTCCTGCAGTAGAAATGGGAAAGAAACTTTGGTGGATAAACACATTTACTCCATCTACCATCATACTTGATCAGACAAAGCTTAAAGGGTTCCGTTGTGAATCGGAAATTACCATCTTTCAATAGAGGTTCACTTGAAATTACGCTTACAGTTCCTTTAAGATAATTTTTTCCACAATTCAGTATGATTAAAAAACCCGAAATTATTTCTAAAAATATACGGTGGTAGGTGATAACATCAGCATAAAATGAAGACGACTTTTTATTTAAGTTATAATTTTTAAAAAGCATTTTTCGAATAATACAAGTTAACAAGTAATTAAAGCAGTGCTTAGGATCCGGATTCGTTGGGTCCGCAAGATTTTGGCTTTCTGGATCCGGATCCGCAAAACCAAGGAGTAAAATATCAACCAAAAACTGCATAAAAAACTATTTTAACCCCTAAAACCAAAATCTGAAATTTAAAAAAAAGGCCAAAGGGATTAGAAAATTTCCTTATTTCTGAATGGTTTCAGGATAAAAATATGAGAAAAAAAGAAAACAAAAAATTCGAAAATTATTTTTTGTTAAAAAAATTTAGTAAATCCGCATCTGCATCAAAATTAAATGGATCCTAAGCACGGAATTAAAGAGAATATTTTTAGTTGACAGCTTCTCTTTGCTTCCATGTTTTGGTGTATCCATGCTGTTTAAAAGCTTGATATAAATCAAAATTAAAATCGAAAGTAATCTTCATTATATTAATATAATCGCCTACTACGGTACTAGCTTGGATTTTTTTAACAAAATATAAACCCCAGATAAAAAACAAAAATCTTAAAAAACGATAGTAAAATATTACCACAATTTTTCCAGTCAGCCTTTAAAAATCTGAATAAGATTTTTACAATCTCATAAAAAAAAGCATAATCATCACATTGTAATTATTTAAAAAAAAACCACCTGTGATTGTTGATCAAGTTCAGGTTTCATATTTTCTTTACTCTCCTCCTAACATTTAAAAAATTTTTAGGGGTTTATATTTTCTCGAAAAATAGATGCTTCCCCCTCTTTTGTAAATTACTTCTCCCCCCTAGATGTTATGCTATATGCATGTTGATTGTTGGCGCGGAGCCGAAATTTTTATATAGGTTTTTTTTTTCGCTGAGGGAAATAAATGATTTAAAGGAGAAACCAATGAATCATGGAAAAAAAGTATCAAAAGAAATGAAAACTTGCTTTTGATGTCCCATTTCCCTCCCAAACAAATTATGAAAAATATTCACCCCTCTTATTTAAATATAAGACCAGTTCCTAAGATAAAGATCTAATTATCAATGTAAAATTAAGCAAAAAGTTGGTCTAAAAGAAGAAAGTTTTTCTGCGAAAATAGAAAACATAAAATTAAATTTCAAAACTAAGAAAAAACTCACTTTAACAGTTTTTAAAACAGGAACAGACTTCTGTGTCCTAAAAAATAATAAAATATTATCTAACTTTTCTTTTTAAAAACACACAAAGTCCTAATCAAAATACTAGCTCACCCATTCTATAAGTAAAAATATCTTCTTATGAACTTTATCGAACATATAAATAACTTGATGCAAACAAAGAACTTCTGGCAATATTGAAAGCCCACTTAAGAATTCAATGAGAGAACCCTTTAACTAACCTGTGTTTAGATTTAGAAATAGATTTGTGCGCGCTCATTACAAGATTAACATTGCTCTTGTCAAGTAGTGGCATAAAGGAGAGTGAAGAAACACGACCATTGTGCGCTTGTACGCTCTTCACACACTGGGACATATTCCTAACAAAATAATATTAATAGCGATCTTTTTGTTTTAGAATTTACATGATTTGATTAGATGAAGACAACCTTAAAGGGACTGTAAAGGAAAAATGAAAGGGGGTATAGGCTGAAAGCTAATCACTTTAGACTCTTAATCGCGAACCATGAAAGTTATATCTGATGTTCCTGTCCTATCTCGAAAAATTGATATATAACTTTGTCAAATTTATACGAAAATTAAAATATATACAATTTTGAATAAAAGTAGAGGGTTTGAATAGATCAAATTCAGCAAATAAGCAACCAATCTGAAAACGATGATATCCCAGAAAAAGCTAATTGTAAATTAGGTTTACTCCAATTATAATTTTATATTTTTTATTTCTATTTTTAATAGATTTAATTCATAATATTATTTATACGTCCGTATTACTTGACCAGAAATTCCACCAATGGCAGTGCAGTAAAGTGGTCACGTGATACAGACGGAGACAAATGACCAGTATACTGCTCTGCCATTGGTGATAGTTCTGGTCACGTGATTTACGTTAAAGATTTTCTTTTTACATTTATGAACTTTCGTATGATTTTAACACAGTTTTATATCAATTTCTCGAGACAGGAACATCAGATAAAACTTTCATGGGTCGCGATCAAGAGCTAAAGTAATTAGCTTTCAGCCTATACAACCTTTCATTTTTCCTTTACAGTCCCTTTAAAACTATTTAAAAAGGCAGACGACACTGGATGTGGTTGGAAAGGAAAAATAGAAATTAATAGTCAAGCCCCACCTCTCTTCAATACACAAAATCTCATTTATTTTTTCCCCAAAAGACCTTTTATTTTCCCTTATTAAAAAAAGAAAAAAAAGGATAATTACAATAGTTTCGTAAAAGATGGCAGGTACCTAAGATCGTAGAAGAGCACCCTGCCCCTGGTTGACCCAACGGCGACGGTTGACCCACTTGTGTCGAGATCCACTGTGGTGCAGGGGTGGTCCATCAGCAGGTTGAACACACTCTTCTTCGACTTCGTGTCATGACATATCAATTTCTAGAATATACGACTCAATCATTCATTCAATCAATCAATCAATCAATCAATCAACAATCAATCAATCAATGATTGACTGAACCATTCTTTTCATCATTCAGTGAGTCAATTCACTGACTCAAACATTCAATTACTCCATCAAACAATCAATCAATCACTGACTCCATCACTAAATCACTGACTCCATCTTTCAATAACTGACTTAATCAATCTAACAATCCATCACTTACTCACTGACGACATTTATTCATTAAACAATCACTCATTCAATAAATCAATCAACAATTCAATCAATCAATCAATCAATCACCAGTCTGAACACCTGTTCAATATCTATTTGTCAACTAATACTAATAAATAAACCTATTTATCAGTCAACGTAACAACTCTTTAATCAGGTTATTTTTAGAGTAATTTATCTGGTGTCTTCCAACCTTATCTAAACCACAGGATACAGCCAGACTATCATTGATGGGAGAGAAGGAGAAAGATGTGCAGGGAGCTAAAATTAAAAAATAAACTTTTGATAACAATGATAATGACATAATAAATAAATTTCAAGAGTTCACCAAGTTTAAGGTGCCCTGACCACCATGCAGCGGGAATATTTGAAAAAAAGGACAAAAATAGTATTGTTGATATGATAATGATAATGATAAAAATAATAATAATAATAAAAAATAATAAAATTACACTCCTGTATTACTAACCAACATGATCATTAATGTTGAAAATATTTTTGTTCGCGTTGCAGTCCCAGAAGCTGACCGTCCCGGACTCACAAGCTGACCCTAGGAAACTAGCGCGTCGGGGACAGTACTTAACACAGGTTATCCGTTGACCAGCGCACTTTGGCGCACTGAACGGCGCAGAAATCTGAAATTTCACACATTTAATAAAAGATCAAATCATTATTTTTACGTAACAACTTTATTTTGTCCAAATGAGATTCCGCGGGGTGAATGTTTTCTTAATCAATACCCCCCGCATTATAGAAACCCTTTTTCAAATCTAAACACTATAGATTTTAGCGCTGTATGATTTTAGGCTAAATAAATTGGTAAAAAAATGATTTGAACAAAAGAAAGAAAGAATGGATAATTAATCAACCTGGTTTGACGCCCTATTAAGGAGAACTAGGGATCCGTTATCACATCCTATCGCTAGATAAGTATCAGTCTGGTTAGGAGTAAAGCAGCTCACATTACTGCTCAGGGTGAAACTCTTCCTAGATCTCTGTTTGGCGAGCTCGAAATAATGGATCTCGTGTTTAGACGACAAGTAAACATGACTCTGGGAAACCCTAAAATAAGGGAAAGTTAATTATTTTTAAGAAGAGTTAGTAAACATTTCTTATTTGGACTGACAGAAAACGCCTTAAAATGCTAATGGGGTTTAAAGAAACATCGAGAATACTTTAATCTCTGGAATATTTAACAGAAGACAATTTTTTTCATAAGGAAATTGCACTGTGTTTAAACTTAACAATGGCCACAAAGAACTTTCCTGTTTTAGCGAAATAACAAAAAAAAATAAAGATCATAAAACAGAAATGAGAGATATCCTTGACATAGATCGTGTACACAAATATGAAGATTAAGTACACTGTACAGTGTACGTATACACTGTACAGTGTACGTACACCCACTATAAGATCATGTAAACTTAAACTGTACCTACCTCGGAAACTGTACATATGAAGGTTTGAGAATTCCTTCCGTTTTAAACTCGCAAGACGAGTATTTAGAGTTCCGATTAAATGTTAACAAAACCTTGTCCTCGTCCTGAAACAGAATTAAAGGGAGTGTTCACAAAAAAAAGAAAAACAAAGGGGTATAGGCTAGAACTAAACTCAATATTAAAATGATAGTTTTTCCGATATGTATATTATAACATTCCTGATTTGGACTGCAGAGTGCAGAAATACTGTAATTTAATTTCTAGTTTAAAACTTAAAACATTTATTTAATATTTAACTGATTCTCATATAAAGTAAGCAAAATTGTGGAATTGTTTATTTTTTAATTCCTAGCTGAAATAAAAGAATAAGATTAAACCGTTTTTTTCTTCTTTTGCATCAACGTTTTCGGATTCGAACCATCGAAAAAGATTAAACCAGGCCGTGATTCTACTGAGTTAACCAATAAAAGTTTGAGGCAAATCGGTCCATCGGATTTCCAAACAAACGGAGATTTCTACTTTATACATACTAGCTTCTGAACTCAGCTTTGCCCAGAAACTAAGATTTCATTATAAAAGATTGACTCACTAAACTTGGAGTCTTTAAACCAAATTAAACCCAATCAAAATGTGAGGTAAATATGTTAAAGGATTAATGACTTTTGATCAGACATCCAAACAATGAGACAAAAAGACAAATATTACAACTTTATATATATTATGTATAAATTTACCTTCAGTATACTGGCTAGTCCAGTATTATCTGTACTCCATGAGGCACAATTTACACCCAGCCCAGGGACCTCAGGAGAATACTGAAATATAATTATTAAAAAAAATAAAAACTCGAGAAAATACAAGAAAAAGGAGTTACAGGTAAAAGTTTTCCGAAAATTTTTAACAATTCATGAAAAAATATTTGCACATCTTTGATAAGTTACAATCGTTTCCTTTCAACAAATAAATTTGTTAAATATCATAATAATTATATTGTGTGTGTTCGTGTTCGTGTGGGGGGNGATCTTTTATTGAAGAAAAGATGACAATGAGAAAGAGCATAAAATTACCGAATATATTGAGGTGAATGTTCCCGTTTCCCAGATTTTCAATCCGTTGCCAGTAGTCGCTAGTAACCCGTCTGCCATCTTTATTTTAGCATCGACTCTGGAAATTGTAAAAAAATTGCTTAGGATTTTAGTATTTATCAGTAATGCAAAATAGGCATAACAGAACTTATCAGTTACCATAAATTTGATAATTTTAGAATCTTTCCAATTACCTTTGATATTTCAAATTACAAAATGTAACAGATAAATTAGTTGCATTCGGATGCTAAGATATATGAAAATAAAAGTTTGTTGGGTTAAGTTCCTTGGTGTGATGAAGGGGTTTTAAGGATACAAAAGTTAACAACGACAAATGGGAATTTGTAAAAAATTCGAAATTCTAGAGAAGTTTTAGGAATCCTTGAAGTTTGCTCTCGGAGTTAGAATTATTTTGAGAGCTGGAGGAGTTAAGGAGAAACTTGAGTTTAGATTGATCTTTACTTTTCTTCTTAGCTCCAGCTCCAGGGTTAACCCGGATACTGGGAGGTAGGACTAGTCCTGCATTATCCTTCCTCATCCTCTTCATTTTCTTCTCTTCTCTCCGTTGTTCCTCAACCTTCTTTTCTTCTTCCTCTCTCTTCAACTCGTCTTCCCGCGCCCTTTTCAAGGTTTTCTCTGCATTAATTTCATTTTTAGCTGCTGTCTTCAAACTTATTTTCTTTCCGGTGTCTCTTCTGCAAACCTGGTAATATTAAAATATGTCAAGAAAAAGTTAAAACAAATACAAAAAGTGTTTCTCAGTATCCGTAACCCAAAGGTATATTTTTAGATTAAGAAAATATTTTGAAAATTGTTTATCCGAAAATTCCCGATTAAAAACATTCTTTAAGTACTCGGAAGGTGTACGTACACTGCATGCACCCTCATAGAAAATTACGATCTCAGTATCTCAGTATATCAGTATATCAGTATATCAGTATATCAGTATATCAGTATATCAGTATATCAGTATATCAGTATATCAGTATATCAGTATATCAGTATATCAGTATATCAGTATATCAGTATATCAGTATATCAGTATATCAGTATATCAGTATATCAGTATATCAGTATATCAGTATATCAGTATATCAGTATATCAGTATATCAGTATATCAGTATATCAGTATATCAGTATATCAGTATATCAGTATATCAGTATATCAGTATATCAGTATATCAGTATATCAGTATATCAGTATATCAGTATATCAGTATATCAGTATATCAGTATATCAGTATATCAGTATATCAGTATATCAGTATATCAGTATCTCAGTATCTCAGTATCTCAGTATCTCAGTATCTCAGTATCTCAGTATCTCAGTATCTCAGTATCTCAGTATCTCAGTATCTCAGTATCTCAGTATCTCAGTATCTCAGTATATCAGTATATCAGTATCTCAGTTTCTCAGTATCTCAAATACGAGCTTTTTGTCGACACACTGTTAAGAATTAGAAAGGGAATCTGTTATATCATTCAACCAAAACCCTTCATATCAATCTTCTGGGGGAACATTTTTTTCAAAAGGGGGGTAAGATGATTCTGGAAAATATACACCCATGCCTAGCCTAGTACATAGAGCCATCTACCTTGTATCTTGAACCTAGAACCTAGATCCTAGTACCTAAAACCCTAGAACATGAAAACCTAGTACCTAGAACCAAGAACCAAGAACCAAGAACCAAGACATAAAAACCAAAACATAGAACCTAGAACCTAGAACTTAGAAACTAGTGACTAGAACCTAGAACCAAGAACATACCTTACAAATCTCCAGACCCTTCTCTAGCTCCATGAAGCAGAATCTACAGGATTCCAATCCAACCACCGTCCTATCAACTAGAAATAAAAACTAATAAGTATAAAAAATAAAGATCAAATTTAAACACAGTTCATCTGCTAATAACAAAGCAACCATTTATAAACTTTTTAACTTTCAATTTCAGGTGATGAAGGATAATCATCAAAGCGTTAAGGAAGCATTTATTAGGCAAAGAAAATAAACTCGCTGAAATGCCCGGCGTTGCCCGTGGAAAAAAGATAAAACTTATGAAAAACCGCTTATAACACCCACCCGGCCACCCATGAGTGTCCACAAAACAAATCAGCCCAATCGGACCAGCCGTTTGGCCGGCAATACGCAACATATATATGCATGTCTTGTTTTATTATATAGATAGATTGTCACCCTAAAATAATTCACAGCATCTATTTATTGATTTTGTTCTATTTTCTACCTTGTTTATTTTTTTGTTGAGTTTTCTGAGGAATCTTTCGTCGTGATGTGTTCACACTGATCAGGCATTGGGGTATACCTACACAAATTATCGTGTTGAGGTGATGAAAATAACAAAATTAAGAATATTATGGCCCAATATGCAGAAATATAAAATATATTAAATGTAACTTCAAGTGGCCTTCCATGCAAAGATGGCCGATTCACAACGGTACCCTTTAAACATTTATCTGATTAATAATTCTAGGTTTAAAAATGTTTCTTTGTTTAGATTTTTATTAGACCAGTCGATGTAAGCAAATAACTTTTTTTCCTTAGTCTGGCGTTTGTACTGGTCCGACGTTTTTACTGTCTGACGTTTTTACTGCCCGAAGTTTGGACCAGTCCAAAGTTTGTACTAGTCCGACGTTTGTCCTGGTTCGACATTTGTACTGTCCGACCTTTTTAAGTTTTAGGTTTGTACCGTCCGAAGTTTGCACTGGTACCGTTCTTATAGCTTCTATATTACTTCCTACAGTAGAAATGCGCAAGGCACTATTGTAAAGAAACTACAATTGAAAAGCATACTAACCGAGTTTCATTTGCGCTTTAAGAAAATAAATTCCTTACTTTACCTTTGAGTAACTCTGCACATTTGGTAAGATGTATTTGTGTTTTCAGTCCTATATCTTCTATACTCGTCTCTAGTTCCGCCATTATGTGTATGTTTACGTCAAAATTGACAAATTGGTGTTTATTATTTAAGCACTAAAAAGCAATGGTTTTACAACTAAAGTTCAGAAAAAGAATGAGTTTTTTTTTTATTAATTACAGGAAGGTTTATTCAATATTCACTGAGGAGCTGATAGACCAGGATTATGATCAACTATGCCCTGAAACAAAAACTAAAATAAATGCTGACTTATCAGTTTTTTTGAACCAATGATCAATACAAAATACATATTGTTCGATTATTTAGTTTGAAAACTGATTATTTTAACTTGTGATATCTCTACAAAAGTTACTTGCGCATTTCTACCAAAGGAAAACATAATAATCAAAAGCACTTTTAAACCTAATAAAACGGTAATATCTTCCACAATATTGGCCAGAATAAAGGTACCGTTGTGAATCAGACAATATTATCTTGGCAAGAAAGGTCACACGAAATAACGAAATTTCAGGTGAAAATCTTTTATTTAAATGAACCACTGATGTTCAAAACTATCCCATACAGAAGTGTTGCTCTCAATTCAAATTTTTAAATCCACAAATAGAACTGTTCCCACCTGCACTGAGGATTTAAGCATATCCTTGATCCTTGCAGTAAAGTTGATTTGAAGTCTAGCAGTAGATATATTCTGGTGATGGGATAGATTACCAGGAATATATCTATAATATTAGTGGATATATTCTGGTGATGGGATAGATTACCAGGAATATATCTATATCAGTCGATATATTCTGGTGAATGGATAGATTACCAGGAATATATCTATACTATCAGTAGATATATTCTGGTGATGGGATAGATTACCAGGAATGTATATATAATATTAGTGGATATATTCTGGTGATGGGATAGATTACAAGGAATGTTTCTATAATATTAGTGGATATATTATGGTGATGGGATAGATTACCAGGAATATATCTATAATATTAGTGGATATATTCTGGTGATGGGATAGATTACCAGGAATGTATCTATAATATTAGTGGATATATTCTGGTGATGGGATAGATTACCAGGAATGTATCTATAAATATTAGTGGATATATTCTGGTGATGGAATAAATTACCAGGAATGTATCTATAAAATTAGTGGATATATAATGGTGATGGGATAGATTACCAGGAATATATCTATAATAGTAGTGGATATATTCTGGTGATGGGATAGATTACCAGGAATTTATCTATAATAGTAGTGGATATATTCTGGTGATGGGATAGATTACTAGGAATATATCTATAACATTAGTGGATAAATTTATTCTGGTGACGGGATAGATAACCAGGAATATATACAACATTGAAATACTTTAGAAATGCTCTTTTTATTGACTGCCAACAATGATTAGAAAAAATACAATAAAAAATCTTTGCTATCAATCCAAAAGATTTCTCTATGTCGTCAATAACCACGTCGCGGTTTTTATATTTTTTAATTCTCTGGCGCGACCACTTTCCGTAGTCAGAAATTTTTCTCTCTCACCTTTTTGGGTGTAAAATGGGGCAAACTACTACACAATTCAATGAAACAAAACCTAGTTTTATTTTACAATTTAGATTTTACTTTTAATTTTTAAATATTCTTGAATATCTAAGAAATCTTAAAATGTTGACCTGGCACTAGCTGAAGCCTGCTGACTGGTCTCTGTAGCACACTTTAGGTTCACCAGAGTCTGGTCCAACACAGAATGGAAATCCTCTATACCAGACTCAAACTATACAATTTATCCCAGATAGTAGAATAGAAAAATAGTTTTCTTTCTGTGCAAAAGAAAATTAAGGAATTTCTTTCAACTAGGAAATGGTTCCGAAGGAAAAAGAGGTAATTCTATTTTTTGACAATCTATACACTGCGGTGGCAAGGAGCGTCGACCCCTATCTATTTCATTCAATAATGGATTGTCGGCTAATAATAATAATATATCTTTAAGCTATTCGCTCATTTATATATATGTTCACTATAGCTGGCCAAACGGCTACACGAGCTAGACCAAATTGACTGAAATTATTTGAGGAAACTTATAGGTACACGGGGTGACACAGTCTAATTTTTGTTGCCAATTTTGAAATTCCACAGGTAACACCGGGCACTTTAGCTAATATCATGATTTAATACAAAGCGCGGTTAGGCAACGGGAGTAACTGTGACTGTAAATAATAATATGATACTCCAGCTGGAACTGTAAAAAAATGATTACCTTCCCTTGAGCGAACTCCTGTCGGGTCGGGTCACTAGAACCAGATCCAAGCAGACTGGTTCCACCCTCCCTAGACAACAAACATACAAAAATAGTGACATATTTACAGAGCAAGAAACTTTTGTGCTGGATACTTATATTCATGAGCACTTGATCTCAATACCCACTAGAACACTTTTAATTTGAGGATTAATGCCTTTATCTCATTGTTTAACTTATCCCTTCCCTGATTAAATCTCTCTTCAGTCACTAAATAGGTGCGATTACCAATACCATGCAGGATATCAAATAAAGTTAAAACTAATCTCCAGATTAACAATATATCAAGATCAAGCATTGAGATCTCGATATCCACAATACAAGAGTTACAACTTGATAAAATATAAAATTCTGTTACAAATATTGTATTGACTAGAAAACGGAAAATGAGGCGAATTACACTTATTTGATGGTGGTTTGTCAAAATCAGTGTTACTGTTCACTAATAAATGATTTTTAAAATTTTCTCTTGATTATAAAAAACGTTAACTTGATCCTTAAAGAAGATTGAATTCGTATTTTTTTTAAGGGACTTAAAGGTAATTATTAGATCGTTTTTAAACAAATTTTAAATTAATCCCTATCGCTAGAATTACAACATTTTCTTCTCAATATATTTCGCCAAAAACTTTGGCATCATGAGGAGTTGGTCCTATATTATAACAGATAACAGCAAAAATAAATTTGTTAAGAAATGAATATAAAAAATAAATAATACAATCAAATAGAAGTTAATCCATAGAATGGCATTTCCGATTACCAACGGTACCCTTAAACTACTTTGAATAATAAGATATTCGCACCTTTCTCTCTGAAAATTGATTATTTTCAATTATGTTTTCTCTGTAACAGTGCCCTTGCGGATCTTTGTGGCGTAGACAATGAATGGAATTGTCTCAATTTAATTCAAGATCAAACAATTACTAGGATAATTTTCTTATTGCGTCTCAAAGAGGTTTAAAGGGTAACCTTCTAAATCATGCATCTCACTCCCATAATGAAGGGCAATGCCAAGAAACCAGATCCGCAAAAATATTCGGATCCGCGGATAAGGATCAAGGGGCAAAATATCAACCAACTACTGCAAAAAAAAATACTTTTTGCTCTCAAAACCCAAATCTGAATTGTTGAATAAGAAAGATAATCAAAATTTCCTTATTTCTGAATGTTTCATTAAGTTTTAGTACAAAAATTAGAGAACACAAAGACAAATAATTTGAAAATTCTTATCTTGTTCAACAAATCAGTAAATCTTAAAGAAATGTTCATAACCTGGATCTGGATCCGGATCCATTTTTTTCCAGTGCAGATCCAGGATCCGGATCCACCTCAAAGTTAAATGAATCCTATGCACTGATGAAAGGTAAATTGAAATTGCATCTGCAATCCCTTTGACAAGTAAATATAAACTATAAATACAATCTAACCTGAGACAAACACTCCACTTATCTTTAATAACCGGAACCAGCTCCCTACAAATATCAAATTAAATCGTACAAAATTAATTTTTGGGACTGTCCTAGTGAACGATTTTTGGACCGAATCGCATCAAATCAAATCTTATTGAATCGAATTGAATCAAATTGAATCAAATCGAATAAAATCGAATAAAATCAAATCAAATCGATTTGAATAGCATTGAATCGAATTGAATTTAATCGTATGGAATCGAATCAAATCAAATATCAAATGGAATATTGAAAATTTAAAAAAAACGGTGTATTTTCCAGGATAAAATCCGAACAATCCGTACAATTTGAAAACAAATCCGTACAATCCGTACAATTTTAGGGTTAAAAAAAAATCAATCCGTACAATCCGTACAATCCGTACATTTTGGCCACCCTGTAGCTTTTAACCCTTTGAGTTTGAAATAAGCTTTTTTCCTCACATCCAAAACATGCCTTTTTCCTCCAAAAATCCAGTTAAATTAAGTTTTCCAACCAAAATCTATTTAGTGTCATTAAAGAATACCAAGACATGTGCTTAATATACAAATATCGAAAATAGAGAACGAATCAAAAATATCTTAATTTAAATGGATCCTTAGCACAGGTAGGAAGAGGGTGGGGTTGGGGGGGAATTTCTTTGTTACCTTAGCAAATCTTCAGGTCTATGAGGTCGAGCCACCTGACCCTGAAAAAGTAGAAGTAAAAATTACAAATTTTTGCCAAACATGTAAAACTTGACGTTAAAGGGACAGGTCGTTATAATTTTAATTTAATGGGCCTGATTTACAACAGTACCTTTAAACTTTTATCTGATAAATAATGTGAAACGTATTGGCGCTTATTTTTTAACAATTTCCTCTATTGTTAATAACATAAATATTGATTATCAATTTGATTGTTAATAATACAAAGCTGATAACAAGGTGAATCGGAAATGCCTATCTATATTAACTTGGGGTTTCCTTAAAACAACTTTTAAACTCTACACCCAATAATAAAAAAAATTTTAAGGTGTATATTTTTCAGATTTATTGTATGATCCAAGGATCTTGAATATGACTATTGTTCACTGTTCAGGTTGATTCACGAGATGAAGATCTATGAGACTCTATGATAGATTTTGTATATTTAACCAAATATCCTGTTAGCTCCAGGTTGTGCACTCAAAGGAACTATATACAGGAACGCCCAACTCAGATATACGCATATTATGTACTGTACACTGTGGGAGGAATGTAAACAAACCCATTGCCCCCACAGAAGTTGAAGGGAAAGGACTAAAGCTCTGATGTGATATTACAGTCCAACAAAAAACAAGTTAATATATCAAGTCAAAGCGAAAACATATGATTTTTGGCTTTCTGGTCAATATGGAAAATACAATAGCAATATATTTTTATTCCACCCCTTGGGCCTGTTTCCCCAAAAATGATGAATTGCCCCTGAATTCTTTGTTTTGATCTCCTCCCACCGCAGTATACAGATGTGATGCATAAGATATGGTGGTTCCTGGTCTATATATTTCTTGGTGCACTCAAGGTTCATTAAACATGTACATACTTGTTTTATGATTTCAAATGAACACTAACTCTACTTTAGATTGAGAAATATATCGATGTTTGTGAAAGGAATCCCAGATAATAGTCTTGTACCACCACCTGTTCTACCTGAACTATAAATATAAACAGGTCATTAATTTAGAACTTCCAGTTAATCTGACTTGGAACTCTCAGTAATTCTTGGTTTATCTTTAGAAAACCTTTCTGATCAAACCTCCGTACCCTGGTTATCTTCCCCAGGATAGAAGGACCTATCTGTCTCAAACCTTCTTTTAACTACATAGCCTCTGCCCTAGCCGTACAATGACATGAGCTGTGCCCTCCCTGCCCTATCTTCTGACTCTCCACCATTTGCTGCTTACACTGTCTAAGCTGCTTATTCTCCATTGTAGCTGCTAATTTTCGACCATAGCTGCAATCTCTCCAATGTGGCTGACTGTTCTCTGGTGAAGCAGATCTTTGCTTTTTCTTAACTTCACAGCTTGAAGATAAAGCTGAATTACAAAAGGTGAAGATCAAAATAGAAACTAATCGTTCAAGAGATTATTAAATAAACTAATTTAATCTCATTTAGATATCCCCCTTATCAATCCTGAGTGTAAGATCACCTTACCTATTCTCCGAGATGATGTTAGATGTACCTACTATTCACCAGTCTCTGTTGGAATAACAATAGGTATAAATTAGTTTCTTGAGATCAAAGTGAATTTTTTTTTCAAAGAAAGGAACAATTTATGTAAACTGACCATGATATCTTTAGTTGTGTACAAGATAAGCTGGCTAAGATCTAAAGAGTTATTCACCTCCAGCTTAATCAACTTTTTAAGTGCATTTTTAAATCACATTAATATGTTTAAAATGACAAAGCATTGGTATGCATGATTCACATCTAAAAGAGATTTCAGAGATTATGTTCTAAACCTTCCTGTCTTAGTGTTCCTAAAATAGAAAATGAACAGTTTGGATCACAAGTGCAACAATCTAAAGCAGAAGTATGATTCTTGCTTTAATCTTTGGTTCTCTGATAAATTCTTAAAGGGGGAATCAAATCTATTTGTCCTCTACAGAGATTGTGTAAGAGAGGCCATTAAGAAACAGAATATAAACCTTAGTGAAATAGACAAAAGAGTTCTGGGTACAAGTGAAGAGAAACAGCCCCCTAACCAAGGGAAACCAGAAAGTCCTTAACCTTTATCCTCATATTAAACTCTAGTGAACTATTCACACTGTAATTGTTAAAATGAGTCATCCTGTAGTTGTTTGGTATTCAAAGGAACCGTCAAGTTTTGATCCAAGTGGAAAATTAATACCATGTTCAGTTTTATCTTATTTTAGTGACTCAGCCTGTATTGGTTGATTTCATTGATATGAAGCGAAAACAGAAATCCCCAGGTGCCAACCTGCCAGTCAACTGGGTTAGAGGCTTTGGTGGCCAGTAACGGAGAACCCAGCCAGAATTCCTAGAAAGCAGAATCTGTGTCTTTCTCTACAGATTCAGGTTTAAGCATGACTTAATGCAATTCATCCTTGAACTCCACTTATCTTCTCCAACTGTTGTCACATCTAAATCTAGTAATATTCTAGAAGAATATTCTCCAGTTCTTTACTTTTCTCCAGACAATAATCATATTCAAACACGCCCTCTGTACCCTTCTTGTTGTCTGCCACGCCTTCCTCTCCCTCCTTTTTGTCTGCCACGCCCCCTCTCCCTTCTTCTTCTCTACACAGGTTTGTCTCTTTAGGAAGATCATCAACTCTTCCATATACACCTCTATGTTTTCACACAATCATTTATCCATCTCCATTTTCTCCATTTCCACATAGATAAGAAATCAGTTTTTATGCTGAATGTTTAAAGTATGGGGAATGTTCAACAACTTGTTTCATCATCTCACTTTTCTCACAACCAAATCCAACTTCCAAAGGCTTAAAGGGGATTCCTATCCTTAAAAGTACTTTAGCCTCCAAAGGTGTGAAAGGGACTCCTATCCCAACGAGCACCCCAGCTTCTGAAGGTTTTAAGAGACTCCATTCTCTAAAAGTACTCCAGCAACAATCAGCTTAAAAGTTACTTCTGTCTTTAAAGGTGCCACATCTGCCAAAAGCACTCCTGGAATCAGAATCACTCCTGGCTCTAAAAGTACTCCTGTTCTTAAATCCAAACCAACTCCAATGAATAGAGGATTAAGTCCGGTTGCCCCAAGTACCCCTACGGGATTCTTTTAGGTGAAAATCCCACTCTTGAGAACCCTGGATCCTCCACTAAAAATGTCAGTTTAGGTCCCCACGATAGTATGCTAATAACTGGTATTCTGGAGAAGATTAAATCTAAAACTGATACTCAAGCGGAACTTAATGACCTCCTGGAGTACACTGTAAGAAACACCAGGAAAAAAATTTTGGAGGCTAAAGTGCTTTTAAGGATAGGAACTCCCTTTAAGCCTTTGGAAGTTGGATTAGCCTTAAAGACTGGAGAATTAACATAAATTTTCAACATTGGAGAACTCTTGGTAACAGGAGTCTTTTTTGGGAACAACAGTTTCTTTACCAGCAGGGGTGCTTCATGGAGTTGGTGTTGGAGTACTTTTATTGTTGGAAGTGGACTTTTGTGCTGCAGACCCATTACTAGATTTAGATGTGACAACAGTTGGAGAAGATTAAATCTAAAACTAATACTCAGACGGAACTTGATGAACTCCTGGCGAACACAGTAAGAAACACAGGGAAAAAATTAATAAAGTGTCTTGAGGAAATAACTCCATACTTAAGATATATGGACAAAAATCATTCCTCCTTGATAGCTCAGATAATCAAAATGAGATTGGCAGACCAGTCTGAGGATGTCACTCACAGTTTCTAGAAGTTTATGTTTTCTTTTCTCAGCCAAAACTATTCTCAGGACTGATCTGCCCTGTTCATGCCACAAACTTCAGACGACTCAACAATCCCAAGCTCACTGCTGATTAATAAAAACGTTCATACTTTCTCAAAAAATATTTGAAAGAATTTGGTTGTGAGAAAAGTGAGATGATGAAACAAGTTGTTGAACATTTCCCATACTTTAAACATTCAGCAGAAAAACTGATTTCTTAACTATATAGTGTGCTTGAGATGTATCGTTATATTTCTAATACTGGAGTTAGTTCTAGAGAAAGGAATACAAGTAGATGCTGGAATATTAAGAGAGCAGATAAATGGATATGGGAAAAAGTATGAGAAGAACAACATGAAGGAGGAGGACAGTGACACAGAGAACAAGAAGGAAGATCTCAATGAGGAGGACAAGGAGAAAATGGAGATGGATAAACAATCGTGTGAATACATAGACATGTATATGGAAGAGCTGATAATCTTCCTAAAGAGACGAACCTGTGTAGAGAAGAAGAAGGGAGAGGGGGGCATTGCAGACAAATAGGAGGGAAAGGAAGGCATGGCAGACGATAAGGAGGGTACAGAGGGCGTGTTTGAATATGATCATTATCCAGAGAAAAGTAAAGAACTGGAGAATATTTTTCTGAAAATCTTCCTAACTCATCTTCTCACATCAGATAGGCTCTGCCATGTAAAGTTCACCAACTTCTTTCAAACAACCCAGAATATAAAATTTGGGAAGAAATTCTTTAAGACATGTTTGGATGTGTTCAGCAGCCCTAATACTGCCAGCATAATAAGGCAATCTGCCATCTCCAATCTTTTTGGGATTGTTTGTCAGTTTATGAATGTTTCTGGGAAACTGACTAAAAATTGGGTTAAGATTATATAATGGATCCACCAACAAATGGGGGTTGCCTCTACCCATGAGTTGGATTATATGGTTGTAAACCTAGGAGTGCATGTACCTATCTTCTCAGCTTGTCAGGCTTTGTTCTACATCATTGCATTTTGCTATGAGTATCTTGTAGTCGAAGACATTACCACCATTCTCTTGTCTTTGAAATTGACCAGCATCACCACTCATACTTTCCAGTTTCCACCCACTCAGGGTAATCACTCCAACCATTCAAAAGGCGTTCTCTGTAGATGTAAGTTTCTACCCGATAGCCTACTGTAAAAGCATCATACACAGGAATAATAAAATCACTCTTCCAATGTTTGTTTTGTCCAACTCTGGTTGAACTGCTCAGAGTTAAAATCTGCAGTAGGATAAATATTTCCCCTTTGATCCATATGATCTACCCAAATCCAGGGATTGTAACTCCCCATACTATAGACAGTATAAGCCATTGGAAGGAGTAGCAAATGAATCTGAAGAATCTGAAGAGGAAGAAAAAGATGAAGAGGAGGAGGATGATGGGGAGGACGAGGATGAAAAGAAGAATGAATCGAGTATGATGTTGAACATCAAACCCTGCAGAGTGCAAACAACAAGCCTTTCCTCAAACAAGAGAACACAAACAACATTGTTGACAGTTACTCTGGCAAGAGAGCTCATGGAAGAAGTGTAGAAAAATGCAGGAAACCTATTTTCAAGAGTTTTCTCTGAACAAAGTGAAATTTAACCGTCTTTGTACGAAGTTGTCAATATCGACCACTCAACTTAACACCCTGTTAAGCCTACCCAGTGTTTAAATATTGTCTGTTTAATGATTAGAATCTGTACTCATTAACCCTAAAAACCGGTTTTCAGTATTCACTACCTCTTGCTGGCATTTGTTTAGTCTCCCAGCAACTGAACAAGTGGAAAGTCTCACTAAATTGGGATGAAACGTAAAAGGGGGTAAGAATTTTTTAATTCTTAATATTTTCATGATTTTCTTACATAAAAATATTTTTTAAATGTTTAATTTCAATAAGTTTATTTTTTTGATAATTTTAATTATCAAATTAGTTGAATTTTATTCATTTTTCTTTATTGACTGCTTTGCACATATGTATTCTGCAAAGTTTATACAGTTTATCCTTTTTATATCAAATAAATTTTAAGTCTTTTATTGTCTTCAATTTTTTACAGGAATGATCAGATGAATCAACTCGTCCTGTCAAGAGAAGACGAGCATATACCAATGTTCTCAGGGTTCCTGTTGTAGTTGTCAGTTCCAGATTGCCTGATAAAACCAGTTCCAATATTCCTCGATCCGTAGTATCAAGTGTTCCTATTCCTTCCGAAGATGAACCCACAGCCATTTCCAATGTTCCTGGATCTGTAGTATCAAGTGTTCCTATTCCTTCTGAAGATGAACCCATAGCCAGTTCCAATGTTCCTGGATCTGTAGAATCAAGTGTTCCTATTCCTTCTGAAGATGAAGGAACCCACAGCCAGTTCCAATGTTCCTGGATCTGTAGTATCAAGTGTTCCTATTCCTTCTGAAAATGAACCCACAGCCAGTTCCAATGTTACTGGATCTATAGTATCAAGTGTTCCTATTATGTCTGAAGATGAACCCACAGCCAGTTCCAATATTCCTGTACCTGGCCCCTCTGGAGATGAAAACAAGACGAAAAAAGGTACAGAGTTTTCTATAAACTTATTAACTGACCTTAAATTCTAAATCTTTGTTTGCAGTTGTACATTTTCAATTTTGTAGGTTTATAAGAAAAAAGCTAAAAAGAAAACAGGGGATATAATCAGAGCACCAGATCGGAACAAGGAAACCAGTATTTATCTGTTACCCCCTGTAGAATAAGCAGATGGTGGTTCCAACAAGGATAGTGATAACTCAGATGATCCTGAAGGATTGCCACATCATCTTCCTCGAAGAATACTTGGAGGCCCAGGAGAACTAAATGAGGGTGAAGATCAGAATGATCCAAATAATAATAATCCTAGAGAAAGGAGTAACAAAGATACTGGATTACTTGGAACAAATATCCCGGAATGTATACCAAAAAAGTTGTCAGATGAAGATCAGCTTCTCCTACAGAATTGTGAAACAGCTTTAGACTACTAGGAATTATTTCTTGGCCAGCGTTACACCGAGGAAGTTGTTTACCAGAGCAGATTGTATGTTGTTCAAAATGATTTCAATAATCATATTGTAAACATATCAGGGAAGAATTTTAAACTTATCTTGAAGATAATAACGATTTTTTTAAAAGACAATTGATCTTTATTTTCAAGACATTATACATTTTTATGATTCATTTTATTAGTGAGAACTGTGAGGTGTCTAGAAGCTGTCTTGCTTTTCAGTGGATATAACGGACCCCCTCAAAGACGTTCCAAAAAGAAGAGCAGAGGTACAGTGTGGAGACTATGATACAATACTACGGAAACCATTTTTCCAAACAGTATATTCATGGAAAGCGAATTTGCTATGGCTTCAAGGTACATATTTCCAGTATTTTAGATATAATATTTACTCATAATAGACTTATAGAACTCATCTTTACTCCAGGTATACTTTGGAGCAGGGCTCATCTTTACTCCAGGTATATTTAGTAGCAGGACTCATCTTTGCTCCGGGTATATATATTGGTAGGACTGGTTATACTTAGCAACAGGAATCATCTTTCTTATGGGTAACCTTATTACTTATCTAGTAGGACTTATCTTTTCTCCAAATTTATTTCAGCAGTGACACTCTAATCTCAAGTCTTTTGTCCTGTTTTAACAAGTAAAATTATGTACAATTACTCTTTTTGTTAAGGTTTGGACCCTAGCT